AGTATGTGATATGGGAACTGTAAGGTGGGGGGACAACATCATTGTTCTTGGTGGTAAGGGCAAACATGGTACGCCATTAGATGCGGTTATCATTTACAATGTCAAGACGGAACAAAGTCACATGCTGCCATCAATGAGATACAAGAGAATAGGGTGTACTGCAGTTATTATTAAAAACAACATTGTAGTCCTGGGAGGACGGGGTGAGCAAGAAAAGCTGAAATCAGTTGAAAGTTTCAATTTTGAAAGATATTCTTGGGAAGAACTTCCAGAAATGTCTGAAGCAAGGTCGTTCCACACTGCTGTTGTTGTGTGAACAATATCTGAAGTAATATGTATAAACTACAAACATATCATAAACAAATGAAATAATATCATAACATCATAGACATAGTTTGTGTAATTTAAAGCTAATTTTCAGACATTTTAAAATAATTGAAATTTTTGTTATTGAACTTGATTGAAATCATGTCAGTTGTCATTAAAAAAGCTTTCAAAGACTTGGCTATGATGATATAGTATTGTAACTAGACATGGCCACCTGGGGAGTTATATAAAATACCTAACCACATGAATAAATTGTAGTCAACTCTAAAATACACTATGCTGATTGGACTATTCCTCCGCTAACTATTGGTGAAAGTTGACTAGCTTATTATTGTGGCAGTATGATAACTGTGGTTACTGGCTGCAATGGTAAGATTGTGAACTTTTTGAGTCTTGTAAGAATTTTTAAGTAAATAGTTTTTAACATGTAAACAAATATACTTGTGCCTATTTTGAACTTCAGTACTTTTTAAGAATGCCTGAAAGCAAACACCATTTAGGTTTACTATGCTTTTAAATGGATACAAATTTTAGTTTATATTTAATAATTCGGAAAACTTGGATAATTTTTACATCACTGGTCCTCACATTGTTATGAGCGGAACCAATGTGTAGAAAGGACTTCACTTCACTTTAACATGCATGAGACTCCCTAGGCCTAGTTCTTCTCAGTGGCGTAGCCAGCCTGACGATTTAGTCATGCTATGCAAATTTTATGTTATTATCATTATTCATTTCTTTACAAATTCATTGTTTTCACAGTCAATGTCAATGAACACCAAAATATTAGCATAGCATGACTAAAATGTCGGGCTGGCTACGCCACTGGTTCTTCTCAAACTAGCAAAATAACTTAAATAGCGTACAGTACTCAGTATGAAAGAAAATCTGGATTGATCATTTCAAAATATCTTATTTTCCTCAGGTGATCAGGATACCCGAAACTAGTGATGATACTTTCAATAGGCTTACAGAATTTAGCAAGAATTTGAAAAAAACTCCTGTCTCCTGCAAGGTAAGCGGGAATATTCAGAGTTTATATTATAATATAATTTAACTTTTATAGTACGCGCGTGCTGATCGGTCGAGGAGCGTGTTTACAAACTGTATAGAAACACGGGACTTTTCCCGCCGAAATTGACAAGCGAAGTAATGTAATGAGAATTTGTCATTGAATCGAACTATAATATTCGTACAAAACTTTTTATTGAGTTATATTACAAAAGAAATAGAAAACTTTTTTCTGTGTTTCTGTACAGTTATAACTCGAAATAGGAAAAACTCTCCCTATGGGCCCAGGGCGAAAAGCAATTTTGGAAAGTGAGGGGGGGGCGCTGTTTGCATAGAACAAGCATTTGACCATTCAAACAGCGTGGTTATCCATATCAAAATATTTGACATCATAACCAAAGCATGGTTATATTGTTTAATGTTTGTATTTTATGATCACGAAACATGCTTGTTCGTTTTCCAAAACTTCCACAAGTGTTTCTATAACTGTATAGAAACACAGAAAATTTTTCAAAAAATTCTTTAGTAAACCTTCAATTATAGAGAAAACCCACAGCTATTTTTTAATGTGTGACTTATAGGTGCATTAATGTTGTGATATTGCTGCTCTAGTTCGAAGTTTTCAGTGTGGTCAAGCTAAATTTTTCAGCTTGCCTGGTTTGTAATTAACCCAGGATACCACCTTCACAAAATTAAGATGGTTGAAATTTCTGGATGAAATATTTAGCTGAAACTTCTATGACGTACTGTATTTTATTATATATGTTTTATTTTCAGGACACGCCTGGTTTTATTGTCAATCGTCTGCTTGTGCCGTATATGCTGGAGGCTGTCCGGCTGTTTGAAAGAGGTAAGACGCATCATTCGTTTCTAAGCAGCTTTTGAAGTATTGAAATGAGTAAATAACACGATTCTGGTAGTCGTGTAGTCATAGTAACAATAGCATGTGCTTGTTTGCTTTAATAAAGACTTATTTTAATACGTCCAAATCATCTCACGCTTTGTTGATTCTCTGGGAACCGGGGCCATCTTTGGGTGGGTAGTTGGGGGATTACAAGGGTGCGCACCCTGCAGGGCTTGCTCGGCAAAAGTGCAAAAGAAATAACTAATAAATATTTCTATGTATGTATAGCTCATTGCTGAATCAATTATGATCAAAATGATGAAATAGCTACCTGCATCAAAAAGTCAAAAAACTTAAGTCTTGCGTGTCCTAGACATAGGGTCCTAGACAAAATTTGAGGACACAAAATTAATCTCTAGTTACACTTCTGATAATACGTATTCTGTGCCTAGGTGATGCTTCTCCCGAAGATATCGATACAGCGATGAAACTTGGTGCAGGTATGTCCTTGTCTTGTATACTGTTACAAAATTATTGTCTGGGAAAATTTGAAACGTTCAAATATCCGTAGAGAGGGTCTCTTGGTTCTTTTTTGACACCCATGCACAGTATCTTGTAGTGGTACCGACCCAAGTTGGGTCGAAAAGTTATTAATTGCATGGCAATTCTGTTGGTGTTTCAAAACAGAAATTAAAACTTCTTTTTACATAAACAATAATCTTCCTTCACGTTATTCCGTTTAAAACATGACCTTCTTTGAGAAAATGAAGAGTATCTGGTCCGTCTTCTTTCTCGTGTCTTTCAATTTTGTCCTACAAGACAAAATTTCTGAACAAAATAAACAATAAAATGTCGTCCATCGAAAGTTTGAAATTGAAATTTTCCCGCCAAAACTCTGCGGTCTTTTTAACTGCAGGTTATCGACCGCTCAGGAACTAGTCAAAATGCTCTATCTGTTTAATTTCGCACTTGCATCGGCTTGCCGTGTAATTTTAACGGCTTTGACGGTTTAAAAGAGTTCTGTGTTAGCTCTTTGAGTATTGCGATGGATGATTTTAACTTCAGACTAAATTTTTAGAACAAAATCAAACAGCACAGGCACAAAACTAGCACAAATATTATTACTCTTAGAACGACTAAAACTGCATGCAATGTTTATTTTGCGAAATGCTTTAGATGTAAAGAAAATAATCATGTGAAGCAGACAAATTTTGTATATATTTGTTATACGCATTAAAAAAATAGATTCAGTTTGCTTAAAAATGGTTATGTTTACCGCGCGTTATATATAAACATATACAACGTTTGCAAACTTATCGGACAATATTTTCAAAATTCTACAACATTTTGCAACCAAACTTCGCTGCTTCACACATTTTAAGGTTTTAGAATTCAGGGCCCGGTTGTATCAAGCGCGTTTAGCTTAAACGGTGGATAAGTCAAAATTAAATAACACTCTTACATCTCTCTTGAATGGGTCAACTTGAATTTTATGCACTGAGTATATAGTTGTAAACAGTATCTTTGTATTAAGATTAAAAACATTGAGTTTGCTTCTTGAATAAAACGATAGACTTGCTTTCTATTTTGAACTTAACCACCGTTTAAGCTAAACGGGCTTGATACAACCGGCCCCTGGTGATATAGCTGCAAGCCTGCAAGCATTTATTGCATTAAAAAACAAAGCTTGTAATATGTAATGCCGCGGTTTTAGCGAAAGCGGCTATAGTGACCGTTACAGGTGGTTATATGTAAAACAATCTATTTTCTGCGTCTGTTTGTCTTCGCGGTTTTCATCAACTCACGAGAGCGAACTACTTGTCGTAACGCGCGAGGAATGAATATATTTTCCAACGCTCCGTCGTGAATTACGCTATGAATATTTATCGAAGAAGGTGCATAATTTTAACGTGAAGTCCCTTGGGAGCATTTAATGAACTGATTTTTGGAATATGGAACTTTTTCGTGGATAACTTATATTTGTTGTTGTTCTGGACGTATTTTGTTTAATACTTCTTGTTTTTTTTGTCGATCAATTCGTGGAGCATCTATTCGTTTAAGAAACGAAAGAATTGCGCTGGCACTTGGAGCATTTAGCTTTGAGTCAACTTGCAGAGTCGAGTGAAGTTTAAGGCAAGGTTTTGATGAGCAAACGGTTTTCAATCTTATTGTATTTTTAAAGTACTGTTTAAATATTTTGGTTTCTGTTTACCGGTACAAAAGATATCTGGACTATTTCACGAAGATACGGAATCGCACCAGTTTTGAGCAATTCTTATTTTCCAAAAGCCTGTTTGTTTTCTAAAGCAGTGCCCGTTTAAAGTTTTATATTTCGTTTCGATTTATACACGATTACTTATAACGTGGATTGTTACGTGTATTTATCGCTGTCTCGAGCATCCGGAATCGAACCACGAACGAAAATTTCCCGCGCATTATGTCTGAACGATATCGCACTCCTAGTCCGATGTCTTACTACTCTTCGTCTCGTCGTACTTCACCGGATCCGCGCGGAAACGACCGTTACACGAGAGCTGGCAGTCCAGATGGCCTTAAGTCATCGCGTCATTCAATGTCTCTCGGTGACATTTCCTCGCTCGGAAGCGACAGTTTAAACTCTTCCCGCCGAAGGGACTCGCTCCTCTCGTGTCCATCGCCGAGGAACGCCGCGTTTTCCGAAAATGACAGCGGGTTAGACAACCCCGGATTTTTATCGCCTTCGAGGCGTAGTGCTTCCCATGAGGACATAATCAAGGGACATAAACACGTCTCGAAACTGCAGCAAGATTTGATGGCGGCAAACAAGAAAATTGGAAGGATGGATGTCCTCTATGAGGAGGCCAACAGACGTAAAAGCAAGTTGCAAGACGAGTTGCTAGAAGCTTGTACCAAAGTTGCTAAACTTGAAGCAACTTGTGCTTCGTTGAAAGAGAGAGAAGCCCAATGGCAGAAGGATATCATGGCTTCACAGCAGCGAAATAGCAAACTCGAGGTAATATTGCATGGAGTGTCTGTGTTAGGCGTTACAAGTTCTTAAGTTGTGTTTAAGAAGAGCAGTTCAGAATTGATAGAGCTATCCAGTATAAATAAAGTCAGTTTAGTTTAGGTTTCCTCCTGTAGTAACACTGGATCAATAAGAGATGTTCCTTACTGGACCTCTTGGAAGAACAGTTTAGAACTGATAGAGCTATCCAGTATAAATAAAGTTAGCTTAATTTAGGTTTCCTTCTGTAGTAACACTGGATCAATAAGAGATGTTCCTTACTGGACCTCTAGGAAGAACCGTTTAGAACTGATAAAGTTATCCAGTATAAATAAGTTTAGTTCTGGTTTCCTCCATATTATCATTGAAAGCGTCGCTCTACTTAAGGTGGATGTGCTGTCGGCGTTCAAAAAGGTGGCGCATTTGGAGTCGGAATTGGAAACGTTGGAGTCAAAGAACAACAGCATTCAACATGATCATGTCGCGGCTCGTGGCAAAATCTCGCTCCTCGAGACGGTCATCGAGAGAATGAAACAGCACCGTACTAGCATGACCCACAGTACTGACAACTGGAGTGTTGAAAATCACAAACTTCTAGAGCTTGAAGCAAAGAATGAACGAGTTACGAGGGAAAATGATGATCTTAAGCATGAGGTAATGACCGCTGACGTATATATTCTTTGCTGGACTGATCAGTCGAGGTGAAGAAGTGTCCCCACCTTACACACCCAGATTGGTCCGTGTGTTGATGAAAATGACCGCATACCAGTCATTGTGTTGGTGCGTGGGCGCATGATATTTCTCAAATTCTATCTGGTGTTTTTATCGTTGTATGCTCTCAAAAGTAGTATAAATTTCCTATACCTAATATGCTCAGATTTTTTGGAAAACTAGCTTTAACATCTTTTCCTATTTTTCCACTCTTCAGCTTCGGCGCGTGAGGAATAAAGGTTTCTTGATGGAAGACAGATTAAGCAAATCTTTGATCGAACAGGCAAGCGCTAGTGGGGGGATTAGCGAGATGAAAGAGCCCCAAACAGACAACAGCGTGAAAATATTGTTGGATGAGGTGAATAAATACAAGCAGTTGTATGAGAATGCTGTGAATGCAAGTTCCGAGAACGGTGATTGTAGAAGATTGTTAGCTGAGGTGGAGAAATACAAAGATCAATGCAGTAGAGCTGAGGAAAAACTGTTTGGCATGTTAGAATATGAAGTAAAGTTTAAGGAAGCAAAGGTAATGTCGGTTATATGCCATTAACCGAAACTAAACTAACTTTATACTGGATAGCTCTATCAGCTTTAACTGTTCTTCCTATAGAGGTCCAGTAAGGATCATCTCTTATTGATCTAGTGTTACTACAGGAGGAAACCTAAACTAAACTAACTTTATTTATACCGGATAGCTCTATCAGTTCTAAACTGTTCTTCCTAGAGCTCCAGTAAGGATCATCTCTTATTGATCCAGTGTTACTACAGGAGGAAACCTAAACTAAACTAACTTTATTTATACTGGATAGCTCCATCAATTCTAAACTGTTCATAGTTAACTTCTTTTATTATTATTTCTTTCAGATGAAATGCGAGGAAACGATTGTTGAACTGAACGGAGCAAAACGTAAACTAACTCTGGCCGAAGAGCAGTTGCAGAAAGCGTTACGAGAGAAAGCAACCATTGCTATGGAAGTGGGGAAAAGCAACGATAAAAGCCTTAAAGCTCATGAGACTTTAAAATCCATGGAAAACGAGATGAATAATTTCAAACTCTCGTTAGAAAAGGCAGAAAAACGTGCAAATGAGACGGAAGCCAAGTTACAGAAGGTATGGACCTCAAGAGAGGAAGTTTATAATGTTATTTTGTGTAAACTGAGGCAGGAAAATAAGTATTTTTATGGTATTATTTTGTGTAAATTGAAGCAGGAAAATAAGTTTTTTTTATGGTGTTATTTTGTGTGAATTGAGGCAGGAAAATAAGTATTTTTATGGTATTATTTTGTATAAATTGAGGCAGTAAAATAAGTATTTTTATGGTGTTATTTTGTGTAAATTGAGGCAGTAAAGTAAGTATTTTTATGGTATTATTTTGTATAAATTGAGGCAGTAAAATAAGTATTTTTATGGTGTTATTTTGTGTAAACTGACGCAAATACTTATTTTAGATTTTTGGTGAACGGCAATCGTTGGCAGAACATTGCCAAGATTTGAGCAATGAAATGCGAGAGTCGAACGCAGAACTAGAGCAGGTTTTAGCTGAGGGTGAGCAGTTGAGGGAACAATTGGAGAACACGAGGGGGTCACTTATGGATAAGGAGGAGGAATGTTCACAATTGATCCACAGCAAAAAAGCACTGAAAGAAGAAATGGAAGAGTGCAGCGCCACCTTAAGTCAGGTATTTGTACTATAAATGTGACTTGACAGAGAAGAAATCATTTTTGTAACGATATTTCGCTTTTTATCAGCTTGAAAGCGAATTGTTGCGATGTAAGAGACAGCTGGGTGAATACAAGGATAACGCGGACATTTGGGAACACAAGGAGAACGAAGGGGTAAAGAGGGTTAAACAGTTGACCATGGAGATAGACGACTTAACCGAGCGATTAGATAAAAAGACCAACGAAAATGTTGAATTGAAAAACAAACTGAAGAGTTGCTTGGAAGATAAAGAGAACGTCAGCGAGGAACTGGAGACGACGCAAGACAAAGTGGTTGCCATGGAGACAATTTTGAACCGCGCAGAAAGAGAAAAGCATGGGCTCGAGGAAAATGCAGCCGAATTAGAATCGACGGTATCCAAACTTGGTGATGAGGTCAGAAGACTCCGGAAGGAATTGGAGGAGCAGAAATATGAGTCTGAAAGTATCTTTAGACGAAGTCAGGATGAAATTATGAAAGCCAGACATAGTTCTAGCGAGTTTGAAACGCTGGAGACGAAGTGTGCTGGTTTGGCGGGAAATTTGGCAGAGTTAGAGGGAAAGTATGACGCCATCGTTGCCGAGCGACAAGAGCTACGGCGGGAAAAATTGAAATCTGAAAGTGACATCAGTCAACTTGAGCGCTCGCTGGCTCTTGTGAATAAGGAGAAGATTGAGTTGCAAAGTGAGAATGAAAGTTTGAGTTCTGCCAAGAGTAAACAAGATGGCGTCGTTATGAAATTGGAGAAGGAATTATTGGAATTAAAGGAAACACGTCAAGAGCTTTTTGAAGAAAATCAGGACGACCAGGTAAGGAAAACAACTAGGAAAATGGAAGCATTCTTTACACATGATACTGATGGGAAATTATAATCAAACCATTGCGTTTTAGAGGAATAAAACGCATTTATTGTAACTGGAAACACTCTTCTCACAATGTGAAAATGACTGATTATGGAATTGTATTTCGTATAATAAGTATTTTTCTCAACCTCTTTTCTAGGTAAAGCTGAAGAAACAGACGCAGGATTTAGTAGCAGCCCTGGAAAGATTAGATGCTAAAACTATTCAAGTCGACGAACTTATCGAGCGATGTGAAACGTTGAAACACGAACGCAAAACCCTCCGTGAAGATTTGCTTAACTCAAGAGAACTGTCTTCCAATGTTCAAATTCAACTCGACAAAGAAATACGCGAAAAGCAAAATCTCACGGACGAGTTAACAGAAGCGAAGAAGAAAGTTAAACGTCGCGAAGATGAAATACAAGATCTCGAGAACAAACTAGCGGAACAGGCTGACATTTTAGAGAAGGGGAACCGTCGCAGTCGCGAAGAACAAGGACAGATGAGAGTTGTTAGGCAAGAACTTGATATTCAGGTACATAACACTGTATTTTTGTAGATAATTAGGTGTACATTGAGATAAATGTCGTGGATATTTAGGGGTATATGGGGATATGTTTATGGATGGTTATATACACAGTGGGATGATTGTAGATTTTCAGGTACATGTAGGGATGTATTTTGTTAGGATTTGGGATATGAGAGGATATATTTCATCGGCATTTGTGTGCATATGAGGGTATATATATATTTTTTTTTCTTTTTTAAAACTGCCTAGGTTGAGAACTACCAGGAGAAATGCAGTGAACTCGAGCACACAAAGGGAAAACTAGAATCACTGCAGCTTGAGCATGAGAACAAAAAGAAAGAAATTTTGAATATGGAAGTTTCAACATCGAAATTAGGAAGTCAAGTGAGTAAACTCGAAAGAGAGAAAGGCGAGTTGAACGCTGAACTGGAAAATCGTAACAATGGAATGGCAAAACAGAACGAGAATCTGGTGAAATTACAGAAACAGGTCAAGGAAATGAAAGAGAAACTGGAGAGTTCAGAAGTTCAAGTGGACGAGCTACGGGCAGCAAACCAGAGACAGATCGACGACAACCGAAGTTTGTTTAAACAGGTTTGTTTGTTGTTTTTCCACTAAAATTAAACAACAATATTGTTTCTCCACTTGGAAGTATTAGAAGTATTGGAACTATAATAGGCCCTCTCAGGGATTGATTCTGTGCGGTTTAGTGCTTTGGGGAGGTGTCCAGCCCAGCCACCATCCATGTTGTAAGGAAGTGTGGTATCAAGTATCATGTTTGACCGAGTCAGTGAGATGAAAACTGCTCATTTGAGGCTCTAAATGCGCTAGTACAAAAATAAAATATGTTTGATTTCCAATTTCTTTCTATATTTCACTTTCTATATTTGCACCTCTTTGGCCCAGGCTTTGCACCTCTTTGGCACCCTCAAGTGAAGTCATGCATTCATATCTTTTCAGGATCAACGATTTGATTAAATCTAATGTCTGTTCTTTTTCTAGGTTACACAGAAAAATTCCGATTGTGCTGAGCTTGAGGCTAGCGTGAAAGACCTCAATTCAAATAAAATCAACCTCATGAAAAACCTCAAAAAACTGGAGGAAAAATGCCAGAATTTGGAGAAACAAGCGGAGGTAGAATTCCGTGAAAAACTAAAACTCTCTGAAGCTCTGAAAGCCAGTAACGAGAGCAGAGAGCATGCGTCGAATGATGTGACGAAATTGAAGGACCAGGTGAAGGAGTATAAACAGTTGTATGAGGCAAACGTCAAGGATTCTGTTGTCAGGAAAGATAGTTTGGAAAAGAAGTCTTGGCAGAACCAGGAATTACATAAGAAATACAGCAAGCAAGCTATGAAGTTGTCTGAGGTTTGTGATATTCGTTGCAATTTGCAATTGTGTGATTATGAGGTTTGATTCCTGTAATATGTAGTTTTCTGATTATAATTTCATCTCTGTTACGTGTGAGAAAAGTGCTTCTAGTTTGACTCTACCAAACAGAGTGGTTAGTACATGCGTCTTTCATCTTTGTGACTGAGGTTTGATTCCTGTAATATGCAGTTGTGTGATTATAATTTCACCTCAGTCACACGTGAGAAGAGTGCTTCTAGTTTGACTCTACCAAACACAGTGGTTAGTACATGTGTCTTTCATCTCTGTGACTGAGGTTTGATTCCGGTAATATGCAGTTGTCCGATTATAATTTCACCTCAGTCACATGTGAGAAGAGTGCTTCCAGTTTGACTCTACCAAACACAGTGGTTAGTACATGTGTCTTTCATCTCTGTGACTGAGGTTTGATTCCTGCAATATGCAATATGTAATATCTACGAAAAATGAGTAACAAATTCCTCTTTATCAAATTGTCAGAGATTTAGTTGAAGAGTCACCCTGCTAACACTGAATTATTCCAAATTTTAGGTGGAGAAAAATCTGGAGGAAATAAAGTCGACAAACAACAGGCTATCCAAGGAAAATTTCATGAAACAAACAAAACTAAGTAAAGTTGAAGAATTACTTCAGAAGACGATGGAGGAAAACACAACCCTTAAATCCACTGAAAGAGAAGCACAACGACTCTTAACTGAGATGAACGAGGACGCAGACGACTACGAACTAGAAATACAGAACCTCAAACTTCGTATTTGTGAAATACAAGCGGCCAAAAATACGCTGGAGAAAACGAATTCGGTTTTAACCAAAGCAAGTGAGAGCGAACGCGTTAAAGACAGTCTGAAAAAGTTGGGCCAACTGGAAAAGGATTTTCATGCCATTTCGTTTGCAAAGGAGGAGCTGGAAGTTCATTTGGCCAATGCAAATGAATTATTGAATCAAAGTGAAGCAAAAGAAAGCGAGTTCAGGAAACAGCGGGAAGAACTTAAGCACACAGAAAGTTGTTTATCAGATATTGAGTTTGAGTGTTCTGCTATCAAGAAGGAGAACACGCTTTTGAAGGAAAACGTCGTTCGTTTGGAAGACAGTTTGAAAGCATCGGAAACGGATTTGAATAAACTAAAGAATGAATTAAAGCTTGCTCAAGTATCTAGAAAGACCGGGTATTCAAGGGGTGGTCTATTCATTGCTAAACAAGGGGGGAAATCAAATATAAACTCGAATGGAAAGCCTAACATGAAGTTAGAAGAACCTCTGACAAGCACGCCGCTGACCTCACCTCGCGGAAGCCTTCATTCGAGGTCGTGTGAAATTCCCGCCCCAAAACAACAAAAACGAGTTTTGAAACGACATTATAGTCTAGACTCGATCAACACTGCAAATTATTTTAACCGTGGCATCAACGATAGACTGAGCACAAGCCTAGAAAATTTAGGTAATGATTGGTCGAGGGATAATGACGTCGAAGTGATGGATACGTCATTTGACAGTCTGACCGGGAGTGAATATTCCATAGATCCGTCGGAAGTTAGAGGATTTTCACGAAAATTGCACGAGAAAAAGTTTAAAGAAGCAGGGATCGAAGACTGGGAGACAGTCTCTGACGTCAGCAGCTTGGCGTTTAACGCTGACACAGCAGTTCTGGCTGACCTTGAACCTGATGTGGATCAAAGCGATGCAGAGAGTATTAAGGCTCCGAAACAACGTTTTGAACACACTAGTGCGAAACCATCTCCCAAGCCCAGGAGAAGATCAAGTAGTCTGACCAGAACACCTTCTCTTACAACATTAGTTGAAAAACATGAAGAGGTGGTTCGTGATTCCGAGCCGATTACGAATGTCCCTGAAAAAGTAGCGAGGAAATCCGAATATTTGCCGAGTGCTCTCGAGCTAGTAAGAAGCGCTGTCAATGCTAATAAAGAATCGCATGAAGAAAGAAATTCGAGTTCCCCTGATTCCCGTACAAAAACAGCCGACATTAAGACGAAACCCACCGACGATCCACCAGACAAGTTCAAAGTTGATGCGAGAAACTCAGATGAAGTCGTAGAACTTACCGATAGGCAAGCGAGGCATTCCGATCATAGTCCGAATCTTCCCGATATTTCCCTGCAGTTGTTTCATGACGAGAAGATGCCAAATGTTGAAATGAACAGGGAAACTCCAGTTTCCAGTGTTTTGTCCAGTCCTGGCGATGGGGCGGAGGAAAGTCATAGAAATACCATGTCAAAGATTCCCAGAAAAACGGATCTCAAAGAAATTTCGAATTTTATCACAGACACTACTCAAAGTTCAATTTTGACTACATCTCCGAAAACCTCCATCACTTCAAATGTGAATTCCTCTCATGCAGGTGCATTTGAACCATCCAAATCATCTGTACCATCAGGCTCGCTTGTTATACCATCTAACCCATTTGAATCACCTTCCAACCCATTCTTGGTAACTTCTGACTCATCTCCATCGTTTAACCCGTTTGCAGAAACATTTGAACAGTCTGTCTTACCTTCTAACCCATCTGTTGTACCATCTAACCCTTTTATTGTTCCATCTAATCCATCTGTTATGCCTTCTGACCCATCTGTTGTATCATCTAACCCATTTCTTGCAGCTTCTAACCTCTTTGTATTACCCAACTCATTTGTGGAACTATCTAATCCATCTGTTGTACCATCAGATCCATTTGTCGTACCGTCTGATCTAGCTGTTGTACCATCTGATCCATCTGTTGTACCATCTGATCCAGCTGTTATATCATCTAAATCACCTATTGTACCATCTGGTGCATCATTCAATTCATCTGTTGTATCATCAGATCCATCTGTTGTATCCTATGATCCATCTGTCGTATCATCCAATCCACCTGTTTTACCATCTGATCCATCTACTGTATCATCCAATCTACCTGTTGTACCGTTTGATACATCTGTTGTATCATTCAATCCATCTATCATACCATCAGATCCATCAGTCGTATCAACAAATCCATCAGTTGTGTCATCACATCCATCTGATGTACCATCAGATCCATTTGTCGTACCGTCAGATCCATCTGGTGTACCATCTGATCCATCTGTTGTACCGTCTAAAGAATTTGCGGTGGCGTCAAAGCCGTCTATCTCCTTTACCAACACTCAGACTTCTTCTTTAAACCCCGCTCTTGCTCTTAATAACTCTGAGAGCGTCATAACTCCAGCTTCGAATGTACCAGTTGGCGCCAGCCCTTCAGTAAACAGAAAGAAACTTCAGGTCGTTACTGACGAAACTGGAGAAAGTAAGCGGGTGAGAAAGGTGAAAGTAAAAGATATGAAGAGCCTATGGGAAGAAAAACAAAGCAAAAATGTCGATTCTCAAAAAGTTAAGTATAAGAAAAGGCAAGAAACTAATGTTAGTAACACTCCAGTTGCAACGAGTTCAGCGGTAGCAGTTAGTGCTCAGACTTCTGGAAGTGCTGACGACGGCGATGAAGGTTCTGGGGAAACTCCAAAAATACCAAAAGTATCGGAGTTAGTCTCTCTCTGGAACAAGGTCAATTAGAAAATTTACTTGTTAATAATGACTAATAATAATAATCATAATATACGATTACTTCAGATATAATCTGGATATTTAAATAATTAGCTAATGTAGCATTTGAATGTAAAGTTTAGTTCGTATTAATAAAGGTAACTAAATCATGATCATGAATTGTTTTGATTGTTTCTTAAACTTTCATATGGATATTGGATACCTATTTTCGGCAGTTGTTATTCCGTGTTTGTTGATATGATTTTATTTAATACATGTGCCTATGCATTTTGGTAAATTTGGTGGTGGGACCTGGTGGAAATAATGAAACTATTCTTCTTTTGCTTGTCTTCAGCGGAAAACATGATACTCGTGTATGGACAATATTATTCCCCACTTAATTTTTAACGTTTATTTTTAATTCTCAGGATATCCCATGGGCCCATTCGAGCTTGCCGACTATGTTGGACTGGATACAACCAAATTCATAATTGATGGTAAGTTGTTTTTTTTTGCGTTTCAACTTGTGTTCCTGTAATGCGCAGTTGTTCGATTATAATTTCACCTCAGTCACATGTAAGAAGAGTGCTTCTAGTTTGACTCTACCAAACACAGTGGTTAGTCCATGTGTCTTTCATCTCTGTGACTGAGGTTTGATTCCTGTAATATGCAGTTGATCGATTATAATTTCACCTCAGTCACATGTGAGAGGAATGCTGTCGTCTCGAATCTGGCAGAGGTAAAACAACAAGGGTATCTTCTAAAAATTTAAATTTTGCACAGGGTGGCATGAAACGTACCCAGATGTGGCGCTATTTAATCCATCAGAGAAAGTAAACCAGCTGGTGGAAGCAAATAAACTAGGACGAAAAACTGGAGAGGGATTTTATAAATACGATTAAAGATTTACTGCAATTGGTAGTTCATAAATGAAGAATTGAAAGTGCTGAAGGTATTGCTTTAATATATATTATGTGTGATTTTTATAACCTAGTGTTTTGTACTGGTTTATCGATATCTTGTCCAATCGGTTGGTGATTGTGAGAGATTGTGATTTATTTCTTAAAAACCATGCCCAGGCATATTTTGTTACCAGACTCTGTAGACAAACCAAGGAACATAATTCTCGCAACAAGAAAATGTTTGGAAAAGATATATTTCTTTCCAAGAAACCTCCAATACCTAACAAAGAGACTATAACATTTATATTACACTAGACTCTGAAATTTTCTATTTTCTTTCAAAAAGATGTTACGTAAATATCCCAATTTCTTGATGTTTTCTTTGTGTCGTCGATACCCAGTTTCAAGAATTTATCTCTGTCTGTGTTTCTGCGACATCGATGCTCTTCTTCTGCCTCTCCTATTGACCCCTCGATACACGCATGCTTTTCCAACTGACTATCGCTGTACGAATGCCGTAGGGTGGACTGTCTCGCCGGGGTAAAAGACTCCGAGATGAAAACATCCGGTGTTGATGAGAGACGCGACAGCCGCGAGGGGAACCTCGACTTGCGGGATTCTTGCGCGGACCCACGCGAGCTTCTGTGACATTCGTGCGCGGACCCACGCGCGTTTCTCGAAAAATGAAAGTCTATGGAGTTCTCCGTGCACGTGGTGGCGCCAATTATGACCTGCGCACCGCAAAATAGCTTCGCGACGCATTTTTGAAAGCGATGGTTTACCATAGCATACGCCACTGGGTTAATAATTATTACTGACTTCGTAAGCAGTATTATGATTTCTTTCGCTTTGTCGTTGAATATTTCTCGTCTATTAAACGCACGGCACAATGTACATATCATAAAGGGGGTCCAGGTCACGAGGAAGAAAGCCACGAGCATCACAATAACACGAAGCGTTTTTACCGGTGTGTTTCGCATTGTGTATGTACTCGCGGGCCTTACACGCGTGTTGTCCTCGAATGACGTTACACGCGTTTTTACACGCGTGTTGTCTTTGCCGGATTTGACGCGCGTGGTGTCCTCCGACGACCGGCCGTTCCCGAGCTTTCCCCGACCACTCACCGAACCCTGCCGACGATTTTGCAAGACCATGAAGATCTTCCAATAGTAGTGGACCATAGTTACTAATGGAACGATGTAGAGTAATGTCAATATCACGATGGAATACGAACCGCTTCCGAAGTTAGACGAAGGAGTGAAGTCGACGTAGCAACCGCTGATGTACATTTTCACTTTGAGGCCTGTGGGCGCATACAAGACAGGTGATGCAATTGCAAGCGTGTAGACGTATACAACAAGAATGACCAGTAAAGATTTTGTTCCAGAGATGGGCGCCCGACCCTTGGGGCGAGATATCACGTGATATCGATCGATTGCGATCACAGCAAGCATCACCATGGAAACACTGACCAGTAGAAAGTAACTGAATGCATACAGAGCGGCCAAGACCTCGCCAAAGACCCAGTCGGAAGCGAAGAGTGCTGGAAGTGAAAAAACCAACTCTAACATGGCCAAAGCTAAATTACATGCAGCTAAGTTGATGATGAAATTATTCGTGACCGTTCGTAGAGATTTGTAGTTGATGAAGAGAAATATGACCAAAGTGTTTCCAAGAAGTCCTCCGATAGTGATAATGGTGGTGTAAGCAAGAACTACCATCTTTCCATCCCCCCAGGTGTGGTAACTGTCAGCCTCTGCCAGCGTCATGATGGAACAAGGAGTCTGTAAAAAAAGTAAAATATGAGTTGAGTTGTGCCTAATAACAGCCGATAATTACATGTTCAGTAAATCTCAAGTACACGAATTTCACCCCTGAGATTAGGATGAAGATTAGGATTAAGATTAGGATTCTAATCCTAATTCTAATCAACTGTAAACCCTAATTAGAAATCCTAAATACACGAATATAACCTTGAGATTAGGATTAAGATTAGGGATCATTCTAATCCTAATAAACCTATTTAAAGACGTTATCCTGACTCTAATCCTAACTTAATTCCAGGTTCGTGCATTTAGGATTTACTGAACATTATTACCTAATATCTAAGGAAAATTGCTATAGATAATCGTGATAAATTACTGACATAATCAGTTTAACTGGATACTAAATCTTGGAGGCAACCATTGAAAAGATTTCCAACCAACATTTTTCTTGGCATTTTTCATAACCCGCCGATGTAGATACAACCTCTCGGCACATAATAGAAAAATCTACGAGGTTTCTCGACTCGCATGCTAATAATTTTAACTTAAGGAACGAAACTTTACAGTTTTACTTATTGCAAGAAGCTCGTTCTATTTTCCAGATTGTCCATCGACGCTAACTCAATTCACTACCTTTGTTATTAAGCCACGATTAATACTGGTCAACGCGAGATATATATAGCTCAGCTGTCACCAGGTTACAACGGCATTTGTTTACGAGAGCGTACAATACAATTTCGCCGTCAATCGCCAACCAAACCGCGAAGTGCTAAGCCGATTTATTTCGTGTTCGAAACGCGTCGTGTCGTATTTTTGCCCATTAATCAAAATTGTAAATAGCTTAGTCGTAAAATTAAACAATCGCTAACCATTACAGAATACATTGCAACACGTCACACGTGTGACAAACAGCGATGATTTCATCAAACTCCATGCAACCAAACTTAGACAAAATGCTGTAATTATTATAAATGGCTCTTGGCCTTGCCTCAAGGCTAAGCGCTAATTATTTGAGCCAATTTCCCAGCTCATTTGCATTTAATGCGATATATCATCGAGATCTTTTTTCTCCCCAACGAGACGTTAGAATACAATTTGTCTGAGATTGGCAAATACATATTAAACTACACTCGACATAAATTAAGTGCTGTGTTGATTTGGTGATAGATGGCTCCATATCGGTGTTATTGAAAAAATACCGCTTTTGTCGTGGCAGTACAATTTGCCACATTTGTTGTCGGGTCAAAAACCTTGAAATATATTCTATTAAATTCAGTGCGTGATACAGAAATTTGACAATAAAACCCGTAGGCGGTCTCTTAGATCGCTAAAAAGATTGGTAGTCTTAAAAAACCTCGACAGATAACAGTCGATGTTGTATATCCATTAGATATTTGATACTTCATTAAATATTCAGAGTTCTCGCAACGGAGTTTTATAAACAAACGGTCAAACGCCACGAAAATGGGCCACGTCTAGAGAATTCGGCGTTAAAATCCCTTTGGCATGTAGATATCCTAAAATTTCGTTAGTTTTCATCCGGTATTAACAGAACAAACAACACGATATTATGTAAGAAGAGATAAAATGTTAGCCACAATTACAATACTGTACAATTCTCGTTCGTTAATTTGATGCGGTGTAAAATATATTCTATGATTTCTATATCGAGTACATTTCAAAGACTTTTCGCACCGACAACTCGCTTCAAAGCTCGGCGGTATTTATAATACGTGAATGTATTCCGATAATTATTTAAATGCGACAATGGCGCAACTAGTCCACCACCTACGCTCCTATTGTTCAAAAGAATCGATATTTCTGTTGAATTTTTAGAGTTTAACCTTAGTTTTTTCCTCGTAAAATCGTTCTATACAAACACTACCTTTACCGGAACATGAGACTTGTGTATTTTATATATTCTGATCTGGTATTACAACACATATTTTGAGTCAACAGCCGTAAAATATATTGTGAATTTATGCCCATAAATTACCTTGGAATCACTCTGACGGTTTTGGTAGTTCAGTCGCAACTGACTGCAGCTTTTCGCTCGACAAAACCGACGAATTTTGGAGTAACATTTTCAAAATACCATACCTTGCCCTGTTGAAGTATTAGATTTCCTCTCGTACGATTGAAATCCGATTGAAATGTTTATCTTATCTCGAGATCTTGTTGAAAATACAATAATTTACATCAGTCATTGTCTTTCATTCGCAAAGCACTCGTATCGTGGCTGAGTGTAAGCAAACAGAACGACGGGTCTATCAGGATATGCGACGGAGTCCGGCTGACACAACCCAAGACCGCATCACTATTTTGAAAAAGCGTTTAATCATAAAATTTAATCCGAAGATATTGCACCGTCGTGTCCGGTGTCACGCTGCTGACCCTAATGGGGGCTTAAAATAACTCGAATCACCCTCAAATGGTTTTATATTTCCATAGCGAAAATAGCATTGACTGTGTTTTCGAAAAGGCCTCAACGAACGCACATATTTTCATATATTTTAACCTCTGTGACAGACAGAAGAATGGTTCTTGCAATATGCTCTTGATTGAGTGCTCTAGCGTCACTTAATCTTTCCTCAATCCGGTGTGAATAATATTTGCGGTTTCCTTATAAAGCAATAATACTTGTGTAATAGTAAATTTTTGCTGGGTTAATTATCAGTTTGGGAAATAAAACACCCATTACAAGGATTTCGACCATTTTGAATACCTCTCACTATGTTTAAGTTTTTTCGTGAGAATGTCTTTTACTATAGTACAATAGTATATATGAACACTATCGTAATGTTATCGGTATCAGAGTCCATCTGAATATCATTATTCAGTTTTACTGGGGTTAACTCGATAAAGGAAACCAGGAAATCCTGAAACCTGATTAATCTGCAGTAAAGACTTTTTGTCACCGTTTCGTACACCCATTTCAACAAAACGTTAAAAGCTCTCGTAAAATACTTCTTGTTCCCCGTAAAGATTCGCTAAGGATTATCCTTATTGATTATTAACCGACAGGTTAGGTTTCCTCTTGTAGTAAGTAACACTGGATCAATAAGAGATGATCCTTACTTGACCTCTAGGAAGAACAGTTTATGGAATTCGTAGAGCTATCCAGTATAGGCTGAGCATAGTGTAGGTTTTCTTCTGTAGTAACACTGAATCAATGACAGATTTCCTTGATATATATATATATATATATATATATATATATATATATTATATTATATATTATATATATATATAACTGATAACAATTCTAAACACTCCTTCCCTGATGTCCATTAATGATCATTTCATATTGAACCAGTGTTACTACAGGAGGAAACCTAAACTAAACTAACTTTATTTATACTGGATAATTCTATCAGTTCTAAACTGTTCCTCCTAAACCTCCAGTAAGGATCATCTCTTATTGATCCAGTGTTACTACAGGAGGAAACCTAAACTAAACTAAGTCTATTTATACTGGATAGCTCTATCAGTTCTAAACTGTTCTTCCCAGAGGTCCAGTAAGGATCATCTGTTATTGACCCATGCAGTGTTACTACAGGAGGAAACCTGAACTAAACCAATATTTGTGCTGGCCTCGTCTTAGAGGGATTAAAGCTAGAAGATAAAAAGGTTAAGATTCGCCATCGCTACCCCTCCCTTATCTTGATGAACGGCTCCATTTTCAGTCGAGTAATATATTTCCGTTTTCCGGACACAAATGAAGCATAAGAGCATGAGACGATCAATCTGTCATCGCTTTAGGGAAACTCGTTTTAAGGCCCGTTTATCGTTAAGACCCGTTCTAAGGCCCAATTTTTGCTGCGACATTATGTGCGATTTTCGTCTTTTGATAGATGTGAACGAGTAATTTAGTTACTAATGTTCAAATAAGACCTTTTATACATCAGAGCATTCCTAACTAATTACTTGTTCACATCTATCAAAAGAAGAAAATCGCGGCAGGAATCGCAAGTGTAAACGAGCCTTTATTTGATGATTGGTTTCTTTTGAAAATTCGGGAAAGTGATGTTTGGGCACATTCCCCCCACCCCCTCCCCCCTATCTTCCCCTGGCAAACGAGATTTGGCCCGTATAAAATTCGCTGTAGTAAACTGACCAGGATTTTAATTAATTGTGGAGACAAAACCATTTGCAAAAATAGAAAAAAATCACTCAACTTTATACCCAACGTATTCATGTTCAGATAATCCGTGTTCAGCAACAACATTAAAAGCAGCTGCAAATGAATAAATTGTCCGCTCCAAAAATGGAATCACATTTCTTGCATATATTTTATATTTAAAAAACTAGTTTTAATTTGCGTTTTCTCATAAAATACAACGTCCAGTTCGCTGGATTGTGCGAATTCAAACCAGTTGAAAAAGCATCGCGTTTAGAGGATTTGCTTTTGCTTTGCCTTGTCAAGATTTTTTCGTCAGATTGAGGGGTAATTTGAATGAAATAATCATCATAGTATTTATCTGTTATTTGGGAAGTTCACCAGGCAGGTGTCTGGTGATTAGCTGGGCTGTAATCTTCCAGTGACGCACGCAATACGGTTTGCGTGTATCCGACAGGTTTTTTTCTATATTTCTCAGCTACGTGAAGGATTACCATCTACAGATTTTAATTTGGATAAAGATTGGAAAGTGGCAATGTCTACCACCTCGCATCTTCTTCTGATCTCTTTATTTCATAATACTCTGACTATCCCTCCTTCATCTCTTCTTATTACAGTCCATATCATCTCAACCTTGCTTCCCTCATCTTCTCTGCAAGTCTGCCATCTCACATCTTCTGATCTCTTCATTTCATAATATCTCCTTTATCAGCTCTCCCTTATCTCTTCCTATCACGTGTCCATATCATCTCAACCTTACTAGAGCTTACTGCCCAATACGACTGCCCGAAGCGATATTCATGTTGTGCAAGATTAATTTCTTTTCAAATCCATTGTCTTTACCAGGTCTGTTAACATGAATATATGAATATGTGCCTTCCCCCCCCCCCCAATTATCGTCTCCCGTACCTGGGGACGAGTCAGCTCCCGTACGCCACTGTTTATATTATACGTTCTTCGTTAGTAACCTACAACCATGCCTTAGTTAAAAACTGGGCTTTTAGGATCTAATTGAATTATTCCTTGTCTATTTATGAATGTTCGGAAGAAAGCTTTGCGACTTTTGCTTTGATAACTCTTTTGCGATAGAAATTTTTAGTTCCCCCTAATTATTACACTAACCCGCCTGTACATGTAGAGCGCCCGTGCGCAGGCGAATAGTCCAGTTCAAATATGAACTTTGTAAAGATGATAAAGTTGTATCAGAAAAGCATACTTTTCAAACACCTGAACGCGGCTTGATTTAAGCTATATACCCCTAATATAAATTAATAATTAACTAATAAATTGACATGTTTGTAACATCATTTCGGCTCTTTTTTATTAGCGAATAGATGATAATTTGTGGCGCCAAAATATAGATCAGTGGGTTAATCTTGTTTATCACAGGAATATCGACATTGCCATTGCTTTATATACTTATTTTAGAGCAGGATACCCATGTGACACCAGGATGGCCGAGTGGTTAAGGCGTTGGACTTAAGTTCCAATGTGCGATTGCACGCGTGGGTTCGAACCCCACTCCTGGTAATAAATTTTTAAATTTCTTTTCTTTCTTTTAGCTTCGAAACGGCAAGTAATACTAAAGGAGATCAGCGTAATCGATGTTGTTATGATTACAATTTTGTTTTAAAGACGTTACGGTAGGTAAAGAGAGAAAAATGAGAAATATGTTTCGTTTCCAGACTCCAATAAGATCTCGGCCATTAATTGCGGCGGAAATACTTCATGTAATAAGACTGAAAATCAACAGGTGATATTTTCCGGTGGATATTTCATGCTTATCGGATCAATACTTCTTCCGCGCCTTACGCGCACAGTCGTGTGCTACAAACACTGTAAACAGGGTAGATAATCGTACATTGTATCATTTTTTACATCTCAACCGAATATGTCGTCAAGTCCAGAACGAAAACGCCCTAAAAGGTCGACTGATATAAGTGATGATAAAACTAGTGCTTTATATGCCAAAAGCTATAAGCGAGTGACTAAGGACGATCTTTATATGATTATTGCTCTTTGGATGCAGGATATCGCTAAGCTTCCTGGTGTGAATAAACGTTCGAATACGCTCAGATCTGATGCAGATAAGCCTCGCTACCACAATGTCGGAGCAGTTCTTGTGTTACCAAACGATGTGATTTTCGCTGCCGATTGCTCTCGTGATGGTGCCCACGCCGTGGCCAGACTGTTGATGCAGCACAGCGATAAAGCAGAAGGTTGTAAGATTTTCGTGTCTCGAAAGCCTTGTCCTTTGTGTGCGAAGCTTCTGGTACAGTCGAAAGTGAAACGAGTTTTGTATCTGCCTTCCAAGAACCGGAATACTATCCTTTGGATAAAGCAGATAAAGTTAAAGCAGAATTAGATAAAGCTAAAGCAGGAGCAGATAAAGCTAAAGCAGGAGCAGATAAAGCTGATGATGATGAACGGAAAGCAGCGCCGGTTAACAGAATGAGCCAAGTTGATAACATGTTCACAGCAAGCGCCATTGCACAGACAATATTTGTCTTTCAAGTCGAGAGTGGTGTTCTCACAGATGCATCGAGCAGAAAGAATCCTGGGAGGGTGAACGAAGTAAAGGAGATTATCGAAGGTAAAAAGAAGGAATTTGTCCGGAGATACGGATTTGAAGGGAACCCAGGGTGGAAGGAGGTGATGAAAGAAGAACTGCCCTGGCCGGCGTTCAACAGCGATATAGATAGTCAAGTTCAGAAGTACTTTAACAACGCCATGGAGTGGATGGCTCAGACAATGGTTTTGTCGGGCAAAGGCTTGGACTACGACTTCAAACTAAGTGGACCAAGTGTACCGCGGAAATCTAAGACCATATTCGATCCAGTGGATCCTGATCAAGCCCGTCGTTTCATTGTCATTGCAAGGTTCTTAGCCGAGCGCACGGACGACCCGAAAACCGGTGTTGGTGCGGTGATTGTGAGTCCCAAGATGGACGTCCTCGCGTTTGGTTGGAATGGCTTTCCGTTCAAAGCATATTACAGCGAGTTTGCCAGAGCCTCAGATGACGATGATCCCACACTTGATAAAAAGTATCCTTACGTGATCCACGCTGAGCAAAATGCTATTTTGATGCGAAATAGCAAAAGTGTTGAAGGTGCAATTCTGTTTGTCACGAAGACTCCGTGTGATGAATGCGCCCCCCTGATTGCCATGGCCGGAATCAAGACCGTTGTCGTTGATGAAGGTGAACGTAAGAAAAAAAATCACGAAAAGAAGGAGCTGAGCTATACAATGTTTCGCGATATGGTCAAAGATAGCACCTTTGTTTGTTACGAAACTCGAAAGCAAAACAATCCTGAAGATGCCAATATCTCTAAAGCACGGAAGAGACTTTCTGTGAAAATGGAGCAATCATTAGATTAAATATAGTTAATACTTGTTTGCTAGTAAATTTAGATAAATACTACATTTGTGTGGGGTTTTTTGTTTGTAGTCAGAGTGCAGGTGATAAATATTCTGTGTAGACACTCTTTTAGTTTATTCAATTAAACCAGGTATAAATCAGTCTAATGAGTGTAATCTAATTATTGTATTTTAAAGTATTCCAAAATTTCATTAAATAATTAAGTTTGTGTTGCCCATGACTACTGACAATTCACTTCACCCCTCAAATCTTTTGACTTAACCAATTATAAACCCATTCAATTTTTTCAGTTTTATTAAATTTGATTCAAATTTAATACTCCCACATTCTGAAGACTTCTGGGCTGTTCATGGAAACTTTCAAAATATCCGTAAACATTAATTGGCATGTTACCTTGACAAGATCTTTAACGAGTTCCAGAATGCTCTCATACTAAGCGCGTGGTCTTAATCACAGGAGAAGAGGGCCACTTGAGTGACTGCAAACCTCTTTCAGGCACTTCCGACTAGGCTTTGTGTGGTCGAACTTTGTGCGAAATTTGTGCCAGAAAATTAAGGTCAACTATAGTAAATGCCGGAAAGTCAACCAATTTCAATCACAGATCATGGCCAAATAATGTATTTTTATAAAATGAGCAGACGTCTCCTATGCCGGGTCTACCCAATACGTATGAGATCTGTTACACTGGATTGATCTGGAAAGGATTCGAGATTTGGAGCATGTTTTGATCATAGATTTCATAGTTATCAGTCTATCATAATGGTTCTTACACCCATCCAGTGAATATATGCGATCTGTTGTTAGACTGATCTCGTAATGCAACACTGGATAGACCTAACAAAATCCAATCGATGGGACAGACATTATACAGGTCTAAAAACCTAAAAAAAACTCTTTCATGTGACTTTGAAAGTTCTATATCACCTTTAATCTCACTCCTCTCCACTTTATTGTCGTAATTATCGGCTTAAATCTCTTACAGGGAGCCCAGAGCAACACTAAATTACAAGGATATTGCCGGAACTTGGAAGAACTTGGGTATGTACATATATCATAAATTTATGACATATACTTCAGTCTCTAATTGCCCACCCTTTATCATCAGTCTATCAGATTGTTGAAACAACCAAATTGAAATTAACCTTTTTTTGACAATTCCGTTTGATAAAAACAACTAAAAAATTGGTAGTTTTTTAGTCACTTTTTATCAATAAAAAATTGGTCCAGTTCGCAGGGCGATATTTTTCACACTTTTCAATATTTTGCAACGAAACTTGCCAAATTCCAATCCAACTAATTTTTGAATGGCCATTAGAGGTGCACCGTTAAATTTCCTTATTTTAAAATTTAGTTAAACGAGGGAATGGGCTGTTTGCGCGCTGGATTAATATGATATCATGGCTAAGGCAGCATATTTATTTTCAAAGCAGGATATTTTCAAAGCTTTGTATTAGCATAGTTTCCCGCTGTTTTGTATTGACTAAACCCGTCTGTATCATCGCTCTCGTACCTGCAAGGTCGATTTGTTTTTCAGCGGGAACCCGCGATGTCCAACGGCGTTGGAAAGCTCGCCTTATAACAAAAATTATTGTAATTTCACTGGGCGTGTATTGGCGTAAACACATAAATTAAACGCAGACCGTGCGAATCGAAGCATATGTCCTCTACGCCATTCAGAAGCAAATTACGTTGGGAAAATTATATAGTGAAATTTACGGCTGTCGTTCTCCGTTAATTTGTTTCTCTATTAATTTAAAATTAAATAGCAGCGAGGACTATTTTCGGCGTCCGTACAATGCAATATATGCGTTTCATTCGTTAGTGTGTTTGTGTGTGTGTGTTCCCGATGCCATTAAATACGGAAGGTTTGAGTATTCAAGTGTACAATGTCGCAAACATAACATTGGGTCTTCTATTGAATGTCTTCGGGGGGTCTCTGCCGAGATCAGTTATTAAGAAAAAGATAACTTTAAACGTTTAGTAATCTTTGTTCCCAACTGTGGGCATAACTTAAATACACTGCATATCTTTACAACAAAGAACATACTGAACAAGCAATCTCCTTAGAATGCTAAAGGTCTTAGACCCAACTCTGGGGGTCAATTCGTGGTTTAACGGGTGATTCGATGTAGTATTTCGCCCGATCATCGCTCGTCAATGTACAACTTAGCGGGCAATTCTGTACAATCCACAAAGAACTGTTGTTGGTTTCACACTTTGAGATATTTAACGACGCCTCTAATAGCTACGGAAAAGGCGGTTGCGTTTGATTTTAAGGACGGAAATGGGAAAAAATTGAGCGCAATTTACATGATATAGGGCAAGTCTCAATGAGATTTTAATTTCAAGACCCACTTATGTCAGACGTAAATAACCCAGGCATTCAGCGACCGATCGAGTAGAGCAAGAACGCTCAGAGACGAGAGGACAGGTGGTATCTTAATATATTAAAATTGAAAATAATATATTATACAATATTACTGTTGGAAGACGCGGGTCTTCGGGATATTAATTCCGAGACGTATTAATTGGAACAGAGTTAAAGCCCGTGAGCGGAGCATAACATTGTGCCTCGTATTATACGGTTTGCGAAATTGGCCGGCTCGCCGCTTTGGGATTATATTGATAACACACAGTGATAATATCTCAAAAGGAAAAGAATCGATATTCACATTTTGTAGCTGTTTAAATAGATGAAAGCAAAGATCTCGGATATATGTATTTTACAGATTGGCGCTTTTTGGAACGACTATATGCGATGATTGAGAACTGAACGTATTTATACAAACTCATTGGCGAGTTCTCTGAACAAAAATCTGCGATATTTGAATAAATCAGGTCAAGCATTTGGCAGAGCCGGTTTGGATTCATTCCTATATATAGCGATATACTTGAATTGGATCGAATAACGGCGTTCAATTTGACTGTAAGACGATATCTAGGAACTGACTAAACTGTTTTGGTTTTGTTACATTTTATCCACGAACTTGATTGTGTGAAATTGGCAAGCGACGCGCCAAATCACATGTAACAATTGTAAACAGAAATAAACTGTCCTTGCACTTGTGTGTGTTCGTCCGCGGGCAATTTGTTCACTACAGTGTGGTACTGCTTCACGATTTCGTGGGCGAAAAATATTTATAACCCAAGTTGAATTTGATCGATAAACATAGCTATATCACAGATTTTATTTCATACAGTTTACCTAACACAGACTGCTGGATAATATCTCTGCTTGCGATAAAGTATTGTGTAAACTTAAAGTGGGATATTGGCACATGCATAAAGTAAAAAACCTTTGGTTCTCGTTTCCGATTGGGCGAAATTTTCATTGATTACATACTATCATACGGTAAGGTGAATATATCATATCGTATCTTTGTGACGTAGACATTGAAATGAAGTGTTGAAGTGGGAAGTTTTTGAATATATTGGAATATATACTGGATCGACCTTGGCGGAGCGTTCACTCGCATATAACAAAAATAGTTGTGACTCGGAGACGATTTTAGCGAGTTTAAACGAGTCGATTCGAGTTGGCTTTTAAAACTGCAGTTGTATTATCATCAAAGGTCACGTTTGAAAGAAAAAAGGATATCGATCTGACTGCCAAAGCCAACCAAAGATTATACTGTGTCTTTCAAGTGGTAAATCGTCCATTTGCGATTCAAAGATAAAAGAAACCGGCGAACATTCAGTTTTCGCGGAATGAAAGCTCTTCGACGTATATTTTTACTCTGAATAGTAAAAGACTCTTTGGAAAAAACTATTTGGATTCTAAGACTTAAATCTTTGCATTTTTACGCGCAGAAACATTTGATCGAGCAAGTGCTTGTCTGCTGGTATAGTGTGCAAGACTCAGAGGGTAATCCTTTCCAGTTAAATGACAAACTCATTGACAATGGACAACATAAGCCGCGATAATCACAGCCACTCTTCGAAATCTACTGACCACTTCGTATTTTTCTTGTCAGTTTGCCTTGTGGTCATCGAAATATTGGGACTGTCATGTAATGGCATAATTCTTGCGGTTTACTATAAATATTCGCGATTACGTACGGCTACAAATTTGTTCATATTGAACCTGGCTCTTTGTAACCTTCTCTTGGCCTTTCTTCAGCTAATGCTGTCCTCTCCATCGTTTTTCAAAGAAGAATGGCTGTACGGTTATGATGGCTGTATCGCGTATGGATTTCTGCATCAATACTTGATATCCGTCGCTGTGGTAACATTGGGTTTGATAGCTTTCGACCGCTTCTGTGTCATTACCAAACCAGTGCACAAACTCAAAACGTTTATCATTACAAAACCTCGCGCAAAATTGTTTATATTGCTAATACATTTATACTCGTTGGTGTTTACCTTTCCATTGTTGGTAGGCTGGGGTGAACTCGTACCAGACTCTCGATACAACACGGGCTGTTACATTCATTACTCCGAACAGAGTCCGAGTTCGCTGGCCTACACAGTTACATCGACATTATTCGCGTGTGTTCTTCCCTTTGTTGTGACCGCGTGTTGCTACGCGAAGATCTACAAGTCCGTGCGCAAAAGCTCACGGAGATGTACGCTGTACAAAAGTAACCGCAGTTCGATTTACAAAGAGTCATGCGCAAGACGAAAATCTTTGTACCACACAAAGACCGCGAGAATGATTTCCATCGTGATGTTCTTCTTTCTGCTCACGTGGTTGCCGACGAGAATTGTCGAATTGCTTACGGCGTTCGGGTGCCCTGTGCCGCCGCTGGCCGCATACGTTTGCATGTTCCTAACGAAGTCGTGCGTGATGTATAACGCGGTCGTGTACGTGTTCCTGAATCATCGTTTTCGTGCTGCGTTCTTGCACATGACGTTCGTGTTTCGCGACGACAGTCGACCGCGTTTCAACACGAGCGCTACAACGAATGCAAGTATGCGAAATCTCGGAGAGATTTTCGCGACTTCCGCTGGCGAGACTAAGAAGACATCGCGGGCTCTGTCGCGAAAAACGTTGTCTCAGCTCTGCTTCGTCTCTGCCGTAGAGATGCCAGAATATTCCTCCAACGTGGACTTGTCGCGAATGTCTCGGAATCCGACGATCACTCGTCGTGAGGAATCGCCTCATAATCGTAAATCTTCGTGTTCAGATCGCGATTCGGCGCTAAACGACCGTGAACTATCGGGCATTTCGCGTGGAAATCCAAAGGAACACGAAGGCTCCCGCGTGGAGTCTGAAGCATGGGAAAAGGATTATGGGAATGGGGCTTATTTGAATCGCGGGCTCGATGAGGAGGAACCAGAGAGTGGGGTTGAAAATGATAGGGTAGGGTCACGCTTACCCTCTGTGGGGGAAGAAACAAATGAAGCGGACAGCGGAATAGCGGAGGCAAGCAATGAGACATGCTTAACGGCCGTAGAACTACACTCGATGTCTGATTCAAATCCTCAGCACATTAGCCCAAACAATGACTCGCAGATCTCAAGTGATGCCTTTGAGAAGGGTAAAATTGACTATAGCTTCAATAATCCAGGGTTATTCCAAGACGATGAACGCTCCTCCGGGAAATCTGAGGAACGTTTTGAGAATTTTTTAAAACTGGATATTAACTCGTTGGAGGACATGATTTAGGCTGCTCGTCATTACCAAAAATATATGCGTTATGTGTGTTAAATATTAAAGAAAAATGTGTGTATATAATTTGAATATTTTTAAAAATAGAAGCACTTAATCGTTGGCAATTTAAATTGTTTAACACCAGGGTATTTTTGTTGCAATTACTCTATGTACCGCATAAGATTGCGACTTTTGTTTTCAACATAGTTTTGTTTACATCTTGAGATGCTATTATTTCAACACGAGATATTTTATTTGTCGGCATATGCGAAGTGTCTATTTCATTAAGAAAACACGCGATGACGCGTTCAATATTAATTACGATAACAAATACCCTATATCAATATTATCGTCTCCAAATGTCTTTGTCCTAATTTCGAAAGGAAGGAAGAAATTATTGCCCTCATAAAGATATAATATCCTTGGAGACTTCAACTAAATTATCCACTTTAAATTGGCTCATTTTGTGATTCGTCTATTTATTATTAGCCCTGATTGTTTTGTTTTCAAAAAAATATATTATTCTGTCTCCACGGCTTTCCGAAAGCATTGCAGTTGTGCGTCTCGATCGTATTGTTTGTTCGATAAAGGCATTGTAGCTACTTTAGGCAATTGCGTGTAGCTCATAAAACAGGGTTGAAAACACTATTTTATATTCATAAACTGATGTACGGCTTTTTCAGTGGCAATAGTTAAATAATGCACAATGTGGGCGCTAAAAAGTGATAAATTTAGCTGCAATAAATTTAGCATACATTGGTTAAACTTAAGATAAATCGAGATGCAAAATTCGTTCAGTAAATAATTTATGTTCATAGTAAAGATTCGTTGACCGGCTGGTTGTAATCTAAGGTTTTGTAATCTAACTTCGTCTGCGCGATAACTCTTGTTGTAGTGAATAGCGAGCTTCAGAGTGTTTACTTGCTTCATCTATTTGGCCTTGGAAAGCGTTTCGTGATATTCCCAGGGGAACTCAGCTGAATTGCTGGTATTGAGTGGTATAATATAAATATATTTATTGACTCTACATGAATTTTCGTTCGGTTGAATTCCGTTGAGAAACACTCCGTGTCTCAACGATTCGATGCGTTCAGGAACCCACTGTTGGGTTCAGAATGAGTCATGCAGAGGCAGTCCATGCAGGGCATGATTGATGTCAAAATTTGTGTGTTAGAATTGCTTAAATCGTTGTATTGATCATCAATCCTCGTTAATCGTTAAGCTTTGTTCTAATTCTGGAAGCGCGATGCAAACAGATCTAAGTCCAGCGGGTTTCCTACACAGTCACGAGTTTCACAAGTCAAGTTCGCGTTTCACCTGCAGAAAGCGCTTTGCTGGCTTAAGTATTTTTGATTGTGGTTCAACCTCGCAACGCAGTACAAACGAAACTTAGTTTATTTTTCAAAGTTAACTTTAATGACTAATTACACGTGTACCAAATTACAAAATATACTCAGAGTAATAATTAAAACTATTCTAGAAACTGTTTAATTTTAATACAAAAAGTTTTATAGCGGTAATCCTTTGAATACTTATTCATTACGCATAGTTTTCCCGCGATTTCTTCCAACCTCGCGCATGCGCGCGACGTTAGGCCGCGGTGTTGCTCAGAGTAACATAAATTATAGAAAGAAATGTGACTGAACATGCAACCTTCAAAAATTGCACAAGTTTGATTAAATCGGTAGGTTATAAATAACTATTTATTCAAAATTACTAAAGGCAAAAAACTTGTTATTTCTATCACTATGTATCAGTTTTATACTTTTCGCTATGTTACTTTTCGCCGCCATGTTACTTGTTACTTTTCGCTATGTTTTTGAAACAAGTGAATGTGCCGTCATCGACCTTATCGACAAACCAGTTGTAGCCCAACTTTTGACCCAACTCGTGCCGCTCTAGTGGTTCTCTACGCTCGACTTTACCATCAACGAACACGGTTTTGATTCCTTCCATTGCAATCAAGGGAGCGCATTCGTCACACGGAGATTTTGTCACATACAATACTGCATCTTTGAAATTCTTTGTATTCCGCATCAAGAGTGCATTTTGCTCGGCGTGAATGCTATACGGATACTTCTTATTGGATGTATCTTCCTCGGGCGGATTCTTATTAGATTTATCTTCCTCGGGTGGATTCTTATTGGATGTATCTTTCTCGGGCGGATTCTTATTAGATGTATCTTCCTCGGGTGGATTCTTATTGGATGTATCTTTCTCGGGCGGATTCTTATTGGATGTATCTTTCTCGGGCGGATTCTTATTGGATGTATTTTGCTCGGGCGGATACTTCTTAGGTCCATCGTTTTTGGAAGCTCTTGGAAACTCCCCGTAATGTGCTTTGAAAGGAAAGCCATTCCAACCAAACGAGAGAATTTCATTCTCTGGACTGACGATCACCGCACCAACACCAATTTCTGGGTCATCCGTGCGTTGGGCGAGAAATCTTGCTATTTCCATGAAACGTTGGTCAAGTTTGGTGTGGTCCTTAGGTTTCTCAGTTTTGGCGTTCTCGAGCTGTAGTTCACGATCACCTGGCTGAACCAGGACTGCTGCTATCCACTCCTTGATTTTTTTGAAGTATTCTTTAATTTGTTCCATCATATTTGTGTCGAGTTCTGGCCACGGTAGATCCATTTCCATACGTCCCACCCATTCAGAATTATCTTCAAAAGCGCTGTATTTCTCAATTAATTCCTTTGTGCAAGTTTCTTCATTTCCTCCATTTTCTTTACGGGATTTTCTTGCTTCTGTGATCACGGGATCCTCGACTTGCAAGACAAACTTTGTCTGAGCAATGGAGCTTGCGGTGAACAAAGTATCCACTTGTCTCATCTGCTCTTTGTTGCACTTTATTTCCTTTTCTTCACTGCTGTACAAATAGTATTCTGGTTCTCGGGTCGGCAGGAAGAGAACTCGTTTCACTTTGGATTGAACCAAAAGCTTCGCGCAGAGCGGACATGGCTTTCGAGACATAAACATCTTACAACCCTCGGTTTTGCCTCTGTGTTTGATCAACAGTCTGGCCACGGCATGGACATCATCTCGTGAACAATCAGCGGCAAAAATCACATCGTTTGGGGACACGAGCACTGCTCCAACTTGTTTGTGATGCTCTGGGGCTTCTTCTACAAAATCTTCCATCCACAGAGCGATGATCATGTAAAGATTGTCTTTAGTTATTCGTGGAGGATTGCCCGCGTGAGATTTGTTTGGAGTAGTTGTTGTAGTAGAAGGATCGACCTCTCCTGTGTCTTTTTTAGGATATTTCGCCTTGGACGCCATACTGATTTATAAGGAGAGCATCAAAAGTGACAATGAGTTACGTCTTCACAAAACTGCAGCGCTACGTGGTGGGATCTTTGTGTGCATGGAAATATTGGCATAGCGTCTATTAAGCGTCTTAACAAATTGGCATAGCGTCCTAACAAATTCAGACAATGCGATTGGTTGGCACAATAATTGTTTGCGAAGATGATTGACAAATACCCGTCGTCAACATCCATGGAGCTTGGAAAAAAAGGAAAATTCTATCTATAGTGCTATGATCATTATAGATTGTCTTTACTATCTATATTGAGATTTACGTCAACGTGAGATTTGATACTCATTGACATCAGGATAGCCGTACACTTGCCATGGCTCGCATGCTAATGGCACTGAACAATCTACGTACTTATTTGCCATGATCTCGAAAGTGAAAGAGTTTGCGGGTAGGATGCGTTGTTTTTGCAACAGCCATCCGGTTGTTGTTGCGAGATGGAACCCGCGTTATACCTGTAATTTTCTGTTGGTTTTTCTGCATTTCATTCATCATGAATTTTTGTTCTATTGAATTCCCATTTACAAGCACTCCTATCTGAGTGATACCGTGCGTTAAAGGAATCCACTGTTGAGTTCAGAATGAGTTGTGCAGAGGTGGTTCACATAGGCAAGATTAAAGGACTTTTTTCCAGGATTGGTCGCAGATACCAGGAAGAAAGAAGGACTTTAGGGTTGTTATCACGTTAACACTTCTATCAGCCTTTCTTAGACAAAAGGTTCACTAGGAACACCTGTTCTTGTATCAAGCCTTCATAAGGTCTGTTCACACGATCCAATTTTGTTGGATCCAATTCACTTCTGACGTATGAAATGTAGTCAGTTTATGATAAAGCAGTACTGCATTGGCCTCGGTGGATTTGCTGCTGATATACATTACAAGACGAGACGACAGACTATAAACCAGAGAGGTGCTGAAACCACCTAACGCTCGCCTGCACTGTTTGTCTAGAATAAGGAATGTATGAAAGGTATCTGTATGAAGCACAAATTACCGATCTTTTTATTAGAAACTACAAGGCTAAAATCCGCTTTGGAAGGTAATATTAAGCACAAACTTCAGATATTAGTTGTGACCTCAGAATTACTGGCCAAAACTGGCCTCGGAATTACATTAGTTTTATTTGTGACCAATATTTCTTCCGTTTCTCACAATCCGCGCACGTGATATCAACAGGTAAGTTAACGGACCAGGCAAAAGGCCCTGCTTTAAGCCGGGCGCACCGCGCACACACAACGATTTTACGGTAGTTGGTCCATTCAGGTTTAGACATATAGGCAGCCCTTGCCCAGACATGTTTTCCTTCTCGCGGCGCTCGCGCCTCGCGCGTGTACGCGAGTCTACTTGGTCTAATCTGACAAAGTATAGATTGCCAGTCGCCACATTTTGATGAAAACATCCATCTAGACAATCTAGACAGGAATCGGCCGACTAAAATCGTCGTGTGTGCGCCTAGCTTTATGAAATAAACAAGATTGGATTTTTATATCTACACAAAAAAGGATTATGCATCAAACAACGAAAAGGTATGTACATAAATCTTATAGGTGCTTTAATAATATATTTGCATGTGTATCTACATAAATAATATGCAAATATATGTCACATGCGTTGCCATTTGCCTTTGCATTCCGAGCCTATCGGCTTTCTACTTATAAATACTTATGTGCTAAAGCTTGTAATTGCGAATTATCTGACAATATTCTTTAAACTTTAACGTTGGACTATGTTTTATATATATTCACTCCCTGAATGATTTCTATATTAAGCGATTGAATTTTGATACGGCATGTCACAACACAATCTCATAATTTATAATTGTACATGTACAATACAAACATATGGTAGCATACAGGTGAAAATATTTGAAAGTTTCTCATTTGGCTTAAGGTTGTACAAATACTTTCGTTAAATATGATTCAGCTACAACTTTGAACTAAAAAAGACAGGGCTACACAATAGCCCTGAAAATCGTAATGAGCGTGATAACTCTGGATAACTCTCACATTGACCTTATCATGATGCTAATAAGCTTAACATTTGCCTTATCATTTGATAATTTTGAGCAAAGCTCTCTTTATTATTGTATAAATGTGTACCAAATGGCACTGAATAGTTACAATGCATATCGATGACTTATATTTATGATGATTCCTCTGATGTAAAGCCATAATATTTAAAAAATATAGCATCTTAACATTGACCTTATCATTATGCTAATTAGCTTAACATTCACCTTATCATTTGATAATTTTGAACAAAATTCCCATTATTTTGTGTAAATGTGTACTAAATGTCACCATATAGTCACAAGACATATCGATGAGCTATATTTATAAAGAATCTTCCAATGCAAAGCCATAATATTTAAAAATATAACATCTTAACATTGACCTTATCATTATGCTAATTAGCTTAACATTCACCTTATCATTTGATAATTTTGAGCAAAACTCTCTTTATTATTGTATAAATGCGTACCAAATGGCACTAAATAGTCACAATGCATATTGATGACTTATATTGATAATGATTCCTCTGATGTAAAGCCAAAGTATAGAAAAAATATAGCATGTTAACATTGACCTTATCATTATATTTTGTTGTATAATGTTCACTCCCCCCTGGTAAATGGTTCTTTTGCAACAAATAGACTCCTTAAGTAGATAAGTTGAAAATAATGGGAAAATAAAAGTGGCATCTTAACATTCTACTTATCATGTAGTGTGGACGCGGACGGGGACAGTGACGGGGACAGTGACGGGGACGGGGACGGGGACGGGGACGCGGACGCCAAGACTATAGCAATAGCTCTCTTGCACTAAAGTGCAGGCGAGCTAAAAATCCATCAGAAGCGAATTGGATCTAAGAAAATTGGATCGCCTGAACAGACCTTAAACAGGTGATACTTGTGGCAAACAAATTTTAAATAATCGCAGTTTCACTAAGTTGGAAACAAGTCACAATCTCCTTACCTATATCAGCTCACAGTTAATAAAATTATCATCGCGGAATCGAGCTGCCTGCGAAAGAGACTGGGGAAAATTAAACTTATTGCAGCAAGTCCGCATAAATAATATGAGGATTTAATTATAACTTCTCACAAAGCTCTAAGAGTGGCATATATATTCAGTTAAAATTTAAAATAAATGAAAACGAAATACCATTGCATGACAATGGCAAAAATATCATGTCATCTAAGGTAATCATGTTACATTTCATGTTCTGATTAAAGTAATCATGTTGCATTTCATGTTCTAATTAAAGTAATCATGTTACATTTCATGTTCTAACTAAAGTAATCATGCCATTATAATGTTCTAAATGAAGTAATCATTTTCTATTGTTTAGCAGCACTCACAGTCCTCATCTTAGGTTGAAAATGCTCTTCATGCCCTATGATAAATCGAATGAAATAATCACCTTACAATGTTAACTCTACTTAGTAATGTTTTTACCGATGTGTAATATTTAAACTTGTATCAAGTGTTATTAACTTTTACTTTTCGTTTTGTTCCCTGGTTTCGTTGTCTTTGTTTTCATTCTATTTTTTGCAAATTTTTCCTTTTTTCGCTACTAGCGGGGATGTTCTTTGGGTCAGGGGACTTTGTCGTTTCGTAACAAACGAACTTGTTATCTTTTACCATTTCGGGGAAGATTTCATAGCCTGTTGTCCTTGTTGGAAACTTGATATCATCATCAGCAATCACTGTCTGGATTCCTTCCATGGCAAGCAGGGGGGTGCATTCATCGCACGGACATCTTGTAACAAACAGAATTGAATTTTTAAGATTCTTCGAATTCCGCATCAGGAGAGCGTTCTGCTCGGCGTGAATGACATAGGGATACTTCTCATCAATCTCTTCGGGCAGATTTGTTTTAACTTTGTTGTCTTGTCTTTGTTGTTTTATCTTCGTTGTCTTGTCTTGCACGTTTTGGTTATCTTTTTGAGAAGCTCTGGCAAACTCGCCATATTGTGCACCGAAAGGGTAACCATTCCAACCAAAGGCGAGAACTTCCATTTCTTGACTGACGATCACCGCACCAACACCAGTAGTCGGGTCGTCTGTGCGTTGAGCGAGGAGTCTTGCTATTTCTAGGAAGAGTCTGGCTATCTTTCTGTGGTCAGGATTACTGACTGGATTAAAGTCTTTCGAATCTTTAGCTTTTTCGGTGCAGTCTATAAACTTATCCAATTCTCTTTTTTTCATGACGAAAACTCTTGCTACCCACTCCATAACGTCTTCAAAGTTGCTGTGAACTTCTCGATGCATCTTGTCATCGTAAGATGGCCAAGGAAGGTATTCTTTAATGGTTTCTTTATCCCATTTCTCAGGCATATACTTGGCGATCAATGAACGTTTGTGCTCCTCTACTTTCTTATCTGGTGTCAATTCCTTCGCAAGATCTCCGACGGGCTTCTCGACACGCAACACGAACTTTGTCTGGGCAATGGCGCTTGCGGTGAACATTATTTCGACTTCTTTCATTCTCTTTTTGTTCTCATCATTATCAGTGTTATCGTTTTGGGACTGAGCACATGCGGTATCTTTTTCAGGCGAGCGATAGTATTCTGGTTCTCGGGTCGGCAGGAAGAAAACTCGTTTCACTTTGGATTGAACTAAAAGCTTCGCGCACAACGGGCATGGCTTTCGAGACATAAACATCTTACAACCCTCGGTTTTTCCGCTGTGTTTGATCAACAGTCTGGCGGCAGCGTGGACCTCATCTCGTGAACAATCAGCGGTTAAAATCACATCGTTTGGTGACACAAGCACCGCTCCGACGTTGTGCTGTTTGCTCTTCTCTGGAGCTTCGTCGTCGTCGACAAAATCTTCGATCCACAGCGCAATGATCATGTAAAGTGTGTCTTTACTGACGCGCAGATGACTTTTCTCGTAAGACTTCTTCAAATAATCGGTCTGAGTCGTTGAATCAACCATTACTATTTCATCTTGCTTGCTACTAGCTGCTTCCTCTGACGCCATATTGATTTAAAAACCCTTTGAAGCACGACAACACAAGTGCCACGTTACACGTTGCATGAATTTTATGCAAATTAGAAATTGAATTAGCGAACCTTATATATTCTAAGACTTAAATCTTTGAATTTTTACGCAAAGAAATATTTCATTGCTCAAGTGTTCGCCTGCTGGTATAGTGAGCAAGACTCAGAGGGTAATCCTTTCCAGTTAAATGACAAACTCATTGACAATGGACAACATAAGCCACGATAATCACAGCCACTCTTCGAAATCTACTGACCACTTCGTATTTTTCTTGTCAGTTTGCCTTGTGGTCATCGAAATATTGGGACTGTCATGTAATGGAATAATTCTTGCGGTTTACTATAAATATTCGCGATTACGTACGGCTACAAATTTGTTCATATTGAACCTGGCTCTTTGTAACCTTCTCTTGGCCTTTCTTCAGCTAATGCTGTCCTCTCCTTCGTTTTTCAAAGAAGAATGGCTGTACGGTTATGATGGCTGTATCGCGTACGGATTTCTGCATCAATACCTGATATCCGTCGCTGTGGTAACACTGGGTTTGATAGCATTCGACCGCGTTCTTGCACATGACGTTCGCGTTCCGCGACGATAGTCGACCGCGTTTCAACACGAGCGCTACAACGAACGCAAGCATGCGAAATCTCGGAGAGATTTTCGCGACCCCCCGCTGGCGAGACTAAGAACACGTCGCGGGCTCTGTCGCAAAAAACGTTGTCTCAGCTCTGCTTCGTCTCTGCCGTAGAGATGCCGGAATATTCCTCGAACGTGGACTTGTCGCGAATGTCCCGGGATCCGACGATAACTCGTCGTGAGGAATCACCTCATAATCGTAAATCTTCGTGTTCAGATCGCGATTCGGCGCTAAACGATCGTGAACTATCGGGCATTTCGCGTGGAAATCCAAAGGAACACGAAGGTTCCCGCGTGGAGGCTGAAGCATGGGAAAAGGATTATGGGAATGGGGCTTATTTGAGTCGCGGGCTCGATGAGGAGGAACCAGAGAGTGGGGTTGAAAATGATAGGGTAGGGTCACGCTTACCCTCTGTGGGGGAAGAAACAAATGAAGCGGACAGCGGAATAGCCGAGGCAAGCAATGAGACATGCTTGACGGCCGTAGAACTACACTCGGTGTCTGATTCAAATCCTCAGCACATTAGCCCAAGCAATGACTCGCAGATCTCAACTGATGCCTTTGAGAAGGGTAAAATTGACTATAGCTTCAATAATCCAGGGTTATTCCAAGGCGATGAATGCTCCTCCGGGAAATCTGAGGAACGTTTTGAGAATTTTTTAAAACTGGATATTAACTCATTGGAGGACATGATTTAGGCAGCTCGTCATTGCCAAAAATATATGCGTTATGTGTGTTAAATATTAAAGAAAAACATGTGTATATAATTCGAATATTTTTAAAAATAGAAGCACTTAATCGTTGGCAATTTAAATTGTTTAACACCGTGGTATTTTTGTTGCAATTACTCTATGTACCCGCGTAAGATTGCGATTTTTGTTTACAACATAGATTTGTTTACATCTTGAGATGCCATTATTTCAACACGAGATATTTTATTTGTCGGCATATGCGAAGTGTCTATTTCATTAAGAAAACACGCGATGACGCGTTCAATATTAATTACGATAACAAATACCCTATATCAATATTATCGTCTCCAAATGTCTTTGTCCTAATTTTGAAAGGAAGGAAGAAATTATTGCCCTCATAAAGATCAGATATCCTTGGAAACTTCAACTAAATTATCCACTTTAAATTGGCTCATTTTGTGATTCGTCTATTTATTATTTATTATTAGCCCTCATTGTTTTGCTTTCAAAAAAATATTATGCTGTCTCCACGGCTTTTATGAAAGCATTGCAGTTGTGCGTCTCGATCGTATTGTTTGTTCGATAAAGGCATTGTTAAGCTACTTTAGGCAATTGCGTGTAGCTCAGAAAACAGGGTTGGTTTGTTCGTCGCTATTTTATATTCATTTACTGATATACGGCTTTTTCAGTGGCAATAGTTAAATAATGCACAATGTGGGCGCTAAAAAAGTGATAAATTTAGCTACAATAAATTTAGCATACATTGGTAATACTTAAGATAAATCAAGATGCAAAATTCGTTCAGTAAATAATTTATGTTCATAGTAAAGATTCGTTGACCGGCTGGTTGTTATCTAAGGTTTTGTAATCTAACTTTGTCTGCGCGATAACTCTTGTTGTAGTGCATGAATAGCGAGCTTCAGAGTGTTTACTTGCTTCATCTATTAGGCCTTGAGAGCGTTTCGTGGTATTCCCAGGAGAGCTCAGCTGAATTGCTGGTATTGAGTGGTATAATATAAATACATTTATTGACTCTACATGAATTTTTGTTCGGTTGAATTCCGTTGAGAAACACTCCGTGTCTTAACGATTGGATGCGTTCAGGAACCCACTGTTGGGTTCAGAATGAGTCATGCAGAGGCAGTCCATGCAGGGCATGATTGATGTCAAAATTTGTGTGTTAGAATTGCTTAAATCGTTGTATTGATCATCAATCCTCGTTAATCGTTAAGCTTTGTTCTAATTCTGGAAGCGCGATGCAAACAGATCTAAGTCCAACGGGTTTCCTACACAGACACGAGTTTCACAAGTCAAGTTCGCGTTTCACCTGCAGAAAGCGCTTTGCTGGCTTAAGTATTTTTGATTGTGGTTCAACCTCGCAACGCAGTACAAACGAAACTTAGTTTATTTTTCAAAGTTAACTTTAATGACTAATTACACGTGTACCAAATTACAAAATATACTCAGAGTAATAATTAAAACTATTCTAGAAACTGTTTAATTTGAATACAAAAAGTTTTATAGTGGTAATCCTTTGAATACTTATTCATTACGCATAGTTTTCCCGCGATTTCTTCCAACCTCGCGCATGCGCGCGACGTTAGGCCGCGGTGTTGCTCAGAGTAACATAAATTATAGAAAGAAATGTGACTGAACATGCAACCTTCAAAAATTGCACAAGTTTGATTAAATCGGTAGGTTATAAATAACTATTTATTCAAAATTACTAAAGGCAAAAAACTTGTTATTTCTATCACTATGTATCAGTTTTATACTTTTCGCTATGTTACTTTTCGCCGCCATGTTACTTGTTACTTTTCGCTATGTTTTTGAAACAAGTGAATGTGCCGTCATCGACCTTATCGACAAACCAGTTGTAGCCCAACTTATGACCCAACTGGTGCCGCTCTAGTGGTTTCCTACGCTCGACTTTACCATCAACGAACACGGTTTTGATTCCTTCCATTGCAATCAAGGGAGCGCATTCGTCACACGGGGATTTTGTCACATACAATACTGCATCTTTCAAATTCTTTGTATTCCGCATCAAGAGTGCATTTTGCTCGGCGTGAATGCTATACGGATACTTCTTATCTGGTGTATCTTTACCCGCTTTGCTGGAAGCTCTTGGAAACTCTCCGTAATGTGCTTTAAAAGGAAAGCCATTCCAACCAAACGCGAGAATTTCATTCTCTGGACTGACGATCACCGCACCAACACCAATTTCTGGGTCATCCGTGCGTTGGGCGAGAAATCTTGCAATTTCCATGAAACGTTGGTCATGTTTGGTGTGGTGCTTACGTTCCTCAGTTTTGGCATTGTAGAGCTTTAGTTCACGATCACCTGGCTGAACTAGGACTACTGCTAACCACTCCTTGACTTTTTTGAAGTATTCTTCAATTTGTTCCATCATTGTTTTGTTAAGTTCAATCCATTCAGAATTCTCTTCAAAAGCGCTGTAATTCTCAACTGATCCCTCTTTACAAGTCTCTTCATTTCCTTTAAGGGATTCACTTGCTTCTGCGATCACGGGATCCTCGACTTGCAAGACAAACTTTGTCTGAGCAATGGAGCTTGCGGTGAACAAAGTATCCACTTGTCTCATGTGCTCCGTGTTGCACACATTCCTGTCCAAATTGTATTCTGGTTCTCGGGTCGGCAGGAAGAGAACTCGTTTCACTTTGGATTGAACCAAAAGCTTCGCGCAGAGCGGACATGGCTTTCGAGACATAAACATCTTACAACCCTCGGTTTTGCCTCTGTGTTTGATCAACAGTCTGGCCACGGCGTGGACATCATCTCGTGAACAATCAGCGGCAAAAATGACATCGCTTGGGGACACGAGCACTGCTCCAACTTGTTTGTGATGCTCTGGGGCTTCATCTACAAAATCTTCCATCCACAGAGCGATGATCATGTAAAGATTGTCTTTACTTATTCGTGGAGGATTTTTTGCGTATGATTTGCCCTCCTGATTCGAAGAAACGGTCGCTTGTTTGTCATTTTGTTGTGTTTCATTTGCTTCCTGATTGGACTCCATATTGAGCATAAAAAGTGACAATGAGTTACGTTTTCACAAAACTGCAACGCTACGTGGTGGGATCTTTGTGTGAAAATATTGGCATAGCGTCTATTAAGCGTCCTAACAAATTGGCATAGCGTCCTAACAAATTCAGGCAATGCGATTGGTTGGCACAATAATTGTTTGCGAAGACGATTGACAAATACCCGTCGTCAACATCCATGGAGCTTGGAAAAAAAGGAAAATTCTATCTATAGTGCTATGATCATGCTAAGATTGTCTTTACTATTCGCAATTGAGATTTACGTCAACGTGAGATTTCATTGATACTCATTGACATCAGGATAGCCGTACACTTGCCATGGCTCGCATGCTAATGGAACTGAACAATCTACGTACTTATTTGCCATGATCTCCGAAAGTGAAAGAGTTTGCGGGTAGGATGCGTTGTTTTTGCAACAGCCATCCGGTTGTTGTTGCGAGATTTCCATTGCACCCGCATTATACCTGTAATTTTCGACTTTGTTGTCGTCGACAAAATCTTCGATCCACAACGCAATGATCATGTAAAGTGTGTCTTTACTGACGCGCGGAGGACTTTTCTCGTACGACTTCGTTAAATATTCGGTCTGAATCGAAGCAGAAACGGTGGCTTGTGTGCCATTTTGTTGTGTTTCATTTGCTTCCTGATTGGACTCCATATTGATCTAAAGGGAATGTTTCAAGAGACTTCGATTCATTGTGAATAATTGAGTGTTCTTACTGCTCTTCACAATAGCTGTGCTGTGAAGCTTGTCATGCTTCCTTATAGTTTGAATTCCAGAAATAGCGTATTCTGACCTCAAAAACCTGTCATCAGAAACCCGACATATACCTTTCAGAGTTTCCAATATGCGCGAATAAATTTAGACGCGTGTATTCCTAACCAGGGCTGGTTTTTCGAAAGGCGTTTAGCTTAAACGGCGAATAAGCCAAGGCCCAAAGTTTACGAATACTCTCATACATCTTGTGTATTACTGAACCTACATCTTATGCATTAAATATGTACTTCCATTGAAAATTAAAGTGTTTCGACATCGAAATATTTCAGCTCAGCTATTCCTGGCATTTAAAACCCAGCAATATATGAATATAATACGAGAACCTTTATTTAAGCAAAGTAATTCTTTCACTGGTATCAAAATGAACCCTTTAATTTCTAATCTAAGGATATGAAATTATTTACCGAAAAATTGCATTGAAAATATAATCTTCAAAATATAATATAATCTTCTTATAATGTAATGTCCATGGGCCGGTTGTACGAAGGCTCGGTAGCGCTATCCACCGGATAGTGTTAGTCAAAAAATGAAAAATGATTTTGAAATTTTGACAGCAGAAAACCTGACTAGCCTCGTTCTCACGTAACTCGTAACAGGCCTCTTGCTCTTTGGGGAATAGGTCTATACGTTACTTTATCAGGGCCTGGTTATCGTGATAGAGGAGGGGGGGTCGGAGAGGTATATCTAAGTCCTACTAAGACACAAAACTAAACCCTATTTTTGAAGAAATTCCTGGCTAGACACCCCAACGTTTTCTGGCCATTGAGGGAGGGGACATTTTAATGTTTATACTCATACCGAAATCGCACACACACGGAATTATACTAAAAAAACGTTCAGATATATAAGATTGTATAGGTGTATATAAATTAAAAGTCATTTAGCTAGAGTAGTTTACACATATTCAAATACCAACTATAATCAATTTAATTATGCGAAGAATGTTTATAATCCATATTTTTGTTTTATGACATGCAAATTCTCCCAATGTTTCCAGATTATGCCGTTTTTTATCATTTAGTTAGTTTAATTGAATGAATTAATGTTCTAATAGTTCAATGATACTGCAGCTAACTAGAACAGTTTATGGCGCTAAAGTGTTTTACTCTAAGTGATCATCGGGCGTTTCAAAATCTATTTCTTGGATTGTTTCATCAGTGGGCACGACCCCTGCTTCAGGAGCCTGTTTTTTCTGTGTCTCAAAACAAACGAACTTTTCTTCAGCTACCATTTTGGGAAACCTTTTATAGCCTAATTTCTTTTCCGAGTCAACTCCCATACGAGACAAGACATCGTCATCAACGACCACAGTTTTGATTCCTTCCATGGCAATCAGGGGGGTGCATTCATCGCAAGGACATTTTGTAACAAACAGAATTGAATCTTTCAGATTCTTCGAATTCCGCATCAGGAGAGCGTTCTGCTCCGCGTGAATGCTATAAGGATACTTCTCATCTATCTTTTCGTGCGGATCTTCGTCGTCTTCCGCGTTTTTGTTATCTTTATCAGAAGCTCTGGCAAACTCGCCATATTGTGCACCGAAAGGGTAGCCATTCCAACCGAAGGCGAGAACTTCCATTTCTTGACTGACAATCACCGCACCAACACCAGTAGTCGGGTCGTCTGTGCGTTGAGCGAGAAGTCTTGCAATTTCTATGAAGCGTTTGGCTTTCTTCTCGTGGGCAGAATTACTCAATGGATTAAAGCCTGTCGAATTTGTTGACTTTTCATTGCAAGATATAAACTTGTAATCCAATCCTCTGTCGTTTGTCACCAAAACTCTTGCTATCCATTGCATAACTTCTGCAAAGTCGCTGTGAACTTTTTTATGCATCTTTTGATCGTAAGATGGCCAAGGCAGCTTTGTCTTAATAGCATCTACACCCCATTTAGAGCTTTTGACAGGACTGTACTTCTGGCTGAATAAACGTGTACGCTCCTGTACAACTTTTATTTGGTCTTCTGGTGTCAATTTCTTCGCACGTTCTCCGACGGGCTCCTCGACTCGCAAGACGAACTTTGTCTGGGCAATGGCGCTTGCGGTGAACATGATTTCGACTTCTTTCATTTTCTCATCGTTGTATAGTTTGTCAGCTGGCGAGCGATAGTATTCTGGTTCTCGGGTCGGCAGGAAGAGAACTCGTTTCACTTTGGATTGAACCAAAAGCTTCGCGCAGAACGGGCATGGCTTTCGAGACATAAACATCTTACAACCCTGGGTTTTTCCGCTGTGTTTGATCAACAGTCTGGCCGCGGCGTGGACATCATCTCGTGAACAATCAGCGGCAAAAATCACATCGTTTGGTGACACAAGAACCCCTCCGATTTTATTATGTTGTTCTGGGGCTTCATCTACCAAATTTTCCATCCACAACGCAATGATCATGTAAAGTGTGTCTTTACTGACGCGCAGATAACTTTTCTCGTAAGACTTCTTCAAATAATCGGTCTGAGTCGCTGAATCAACCATTACTATTTCATCTTGCTTGCTAATATCTGCTTCCTTTGACGCCATGTTGATTTAAAGACCCTTTGAAACACCACAACACAAGTGTCAGGTAGCACGATTTATGAACTTTAGGCAAATTAGAAATTAGATTAGCGAACCTTATATATTCGGATTGGTTCAGACAACAATCAAATGCGTTTTGTTTAATAACCTTTTTCATCGGGCGCCAAATTAATTTACAGGGATTAATTTTTGACCTTCAAGCAGAGCGATAAATAACGCACTAGTTCGCCACAGTGTATATACTTTGTCAAAAGATATCTAACCTGCGTGCACCCCGACTTTCTACCCCCTTTTTGCGGGGGTAGAAAGTCGGGCTGCACGCAGGCTGAAGATATCCGGCTAACCGGCTTCCTTATAATTTGAGTTCCGGGAAAAGTACTATATGGTCACGAGGCAGCATTTCTCACACGGATCCATACATTTTTGATCTATTAATTCCGAGCCAGAGCATTGTGCGCCTCATTGCCAAAGCAAAAGTCCTGCGTGGTGGGGAGGGACGGGCAGAAAGCTCTTAGTACTGGCATAAAACTAGTCCCTGTTTTTAAGACACCTTACGCTTTTGCCAGTTGGGGGGGGAGGGAGCATTTTAATGTTTATACTCATACTGAAATAATGGATGATCAAAATTTTGAATAAATTTAGCATATAATTGGTAATAATTAAGATACATCAATATACTGTCTACGATACATAATTTGTACGTTACAAAGCTTTTACAATAGTTTACGTTTATAGTAATGATTCGATGCGTTCAGGAACCCACTGCTGGGTTCAGAATGAGTCATGCAGAGGCAGTCCATGCAGGCATGATTAATTGATGTCAAAATTTGTGTGTTATAATTGCTTAAGTCGTTGTATTGATATCAATCCTCGTTAAGCTTTGTTCTAATTCTGGAAGCACGATGCAAACAGATCTTCAGCATTTTACAAGCCTGAGATAGGCCTGGGGCTGGTCTACGTCCCGGTTTCCTACACAGTCACGAGTTTCACATGTCAAGTTCGCGTTTCACCTGCAGAAAGCGCTTCGCTGGCTCAAGTATTTTCGATTGTGATTCAACCTCGCAACGCGGTGCCAACGAAACTTAGTTTATTTTTAAAGTTTAATGACTAATTACACGTGGACAAAATTACAAACTATACTGAGTAATAATTAAAACTATTCTAGAAACTGTTTAATTTTGAAAGAAAAAGTTTTAAAATGTCCATCATCCATAGTGGTAATCCTTTGTATACATATTGATTACGCATAGTTTTCCCGCGATTTCTTCCAACCTCGCGCATGCGCGCGACGTTCGGCCGCGGTGTTGCCCAGAGTAACATAAATTATAGAAAGAAATGTGACTGAACATGCAACCTTCAAAAATTGCACAAGTTTAATTAAATCGGTAGGTTGCAAATAACTATTTACTTAACTAATTTAACAAAGGCAAAAAACTTGTTATTTCTATCACTATGTATCAGTTTTATCCTTTCCGCTATGTTACTGCATGTTTTTGAAACAAGTGAATGTGTCGTCATCGACCTTATCGATAAACCAGTTGTAGCCCAACTTATGACCCAACTCATGCCGCTCTAGTCGTCGTTCTTTACGCTCGACTTTACCATCAACGAACATTTTTTTAATTCCTTCCATTGCAATCAAGGGAGCGCATTCGTCACACGGAGATTTTGTCACATACAATACTGCATCTTTCAAATTCTTTGTATTCAGCATCAAGAGTGCATTTTGCTCGGCGTGAATGATATACGGATACTTCCTATTAGATGTATCTTGCTCGGGCGGATTCTTATTAGATGTATCTTTCTCGGGCGGATTCTTATCAGGTGTATCTTTCTCGGGCGGACTCTTATCAGGTGTATCTTGCTCGGGCGGATTCTCTTTACGTGTATCTTTAACTTTGCTGGAAGCTCTTGGAAACTCTCCGTAGTGTGCTTTGAAAGGAAAACCATTCCAACCAAACGAGAGAATTTCATTTTCTTGACTGACAATCACCGCACCAACACCACGTTCTGGGTCATCCGTACGTTGGGCGAGGAATCTTGCAATTTCCATGAAACGTTGGTCATGCTTGGTGTGGTCAGGAGGACCGTTAGTTTTGGCGTTGTAGAGCTTCCGTTCGCGTTCACCTGACTGAACCAGGACTACTGCTATCCACTCCTTGACTTTTTTGAAGTATTCTTGAATTTCTTTAATCATATCGTCGTCGAGTTCTGGCCACGGTAGATCATTTTTCATACGTTTTATCCATTTAGAATTATCTTTAAAAGCGCTGTATTTCTCAATTAATTCCTTTGTGCAAGTTTCTTCATTTCCTTTAAGGGATTTTCTTGCTTCTGCGATCACGGGATCCTCGACTTGCAAGACAAACTTTGTCTGAGCAATGGAGCTTGCGGTGAACAAAGTATCCACTTGTCTCATCTGCTCTTTGTTGCACTCTATTTCCTTTTTTTCATTGCTGTCCAAATAGTATTCTGGTTCTCGGGTCGGCAGGAAGAGAACTCGTTTCACTTTGGATTGAACCAAAAGCCTCGCGCAGTGCGGACATGGCTTTCGAGACATGAACATCTTACAACCCTCGGTTTTGCCTCTGTGTTTGATCAACAGTCTGGCGGCGGCATGGACATCATCTCGTGAACAATCAGCGGCAAAAATCACATCGTTTGGGGAGACGAGCACTGCTCCAACTTGTTTGTGATGCTCTGGGGCTTTCTCTTCAAAATCTTCCATCCACAGAGCGATGATCATGTAAAGATTATCTTTACTTATTCGCGGAAGATTTTTTGCGTGTGATTTGCCCTCCTGATTCGAAGAACCGGTCGCTTGTTCGTGATTTTGTTGTGTTTCATTTGCTTCCTGATTGGACTCCATATTGATCTAAAGACTTATTCTAAAGGGAATGTTTCAAGAGACTTCGATTCATTGTGAATAATTGAGTGTTCTTACTGCTCTTCACAATAGCTGTGCTGTGAAGCTTGTCATGCTTCCTTATAGTTTGAATTCCAGAAATAGCGTTTTCTGACCTTAAAAACCTGTCACCAGAAACCCGACATATACCTTTGAGAGTTTCTAATATGCGCGAATAAATGTGGATGCGTGTGTTCCTAACCAGGGCTGGTTTTTCGAAAGTCGTTTAGCTTAAACGGTGAATAACCCAAGGCCCAAAGTTTAAGAATACTCTCATACATCTTGTGAAGTACTGCATGAACCTGCATCTTATGCATTAAATATGTACTTTCATTGAAAATGAAAGTATTTACATCGAAATATTTCAGCTCAGCTATTCCTGGCATTTAAAACCCAGCAATATATGAATATAATACGAGAACCTTTATTTAAGCGAGGTAATCCTTTCAATGAACACTGGTATCAGAACGAACCCTTTCTAATCTAAGGAAATGAAACTATTTACTGAAAAATTACATTGAAAATTTATGCGGTCACCTTGCATCTGATTAAAATAAACACAGTTGATTGGATGGAGATGACGTCTTTATGATGCCGTCAGTGTTGTTTAAATCACGGGCTATGATCGTTAAAACGCGGAATTTCCGATTTCTGTTTTTTAAGATTCCGCATTTTCCCATTCCGTTTTTTAAAGATTCCGCATTTTCTCGTCTCAATTTTAAAGATTCCGCATATTCACGTTCCATTCCCCGATTCCACATTCCGCGTTTCAAAGATAGCCACAGTTAATCGCGTCAATTTAATCATTGAGCTGTTTATATTGGGCATTATTTTCCCTGCTGTCTGGATTCAGGAAAACCGGCGAACTTTCCAACTTTCTTCTGGCGAGCGAGAGAGTATCGATCGTTATTTCCGGTCGGCAGGAAGAGAATACTTTATAAGGAAAGCATAGAGGGTGACAATGAGTCTCGTCTTCACAAAAGTGCCACGCTACGTGGTGGTTCCATTATTTTATTTTCTTGCTTCAAGGATAAAGAGTTGATCTTTGTTTGAAATTTTCGCAGACTCCATTTGTTAGCATACGTCATGTTAACAAATTCAGGTGATGCGATTGGTTGGAACAATAATTGTTTGCGAAGCACCTGTCGTCATGATCCATCGAGCTTAATTTGGCGACGCGAAGTATTTTCAGACTTCTGAAAAATTGATGCTCACTGCCATCGGCATAGCTACAATCGCCATGGTTTCCACACCAACAAAAAACAATCAACGTACTAAATTTGCCATGGTCTCCGAAAGTGAAAGAGTTTGCGGGTAGGATGCGTTGTTTTTACAACAGCTATCCGGTAGTGCGAGATTTCCATTGCACCCGCATTCTATTTACAAACACGGTGTATCTGAGTGATACGATGCGTTAAAGCACAGTTGTTAAAGGAACCCATTGTTCAGTTCAGAATGAGCGGCGCCGTTGATGCAAAAAATTAAGTCAGTTTTTTCTCAGAATTGTCGCAGATACCGGGAAAAAAAGGACTTTAGTTTCAGAGTTGTTACAACGTTAACACTTTAATCAGCCTTTAAAATCTTTGACAAAGTTTTACTAAGAACACTTGTTCTTTTATCAATCATTATGAAAAGCGTGTCTTCACTAATTTTAATGTCTATACTTAAACTGAAATCACACGGTTGAAATAGTACTATTGACAGGCTTTCTCACTCACTACATATTAAACGTTCAGATATATGAATTAAGATTATATAGGTATACAAATATGAATTTAAAGTTATTTAGCTATGGAGCAATTTTTACGTATTGAAATAGCAATATAAATAAACTGAATTATTTGGAGAATGTTTACAATTCATATTTTTGTATTATGACATGCAACTTCTTCCTAAATTTCCCCCGTTCTTTTTAATCGTTTGGTAAGTTTAATCGAATAAATTAATATTCTAATAATTCAATAACATGCAACAGCTAGCTAGGATATCTTAAGACGCTAAAGTGTTTTGCTCCAAGTGATTATGCTCCGTTTACAAATCCACTTTTTGTTTTGCTTTACCTGGCGCGATACCTGTTTCAGCAGCTTGCTTTTTTTGTGTTTCAAAACAAACGAACTTTCCTTCTTCTACCATTTTGGGGAACCTTTTATAACCTAATTTCTTTTCCGAGTCAACTCCCATACGAGACAAGATATCGTCATCAACGACCACAGTTTTGATTCCTTCCATGGCAAGCAGGGGGGTGCATTCATCGCACGGACATTTTGTAACAAACAGAATTGCATCTTTCAGATTCTTCGAATTCCGCATCAGAAGAGCGTTCTGTTCGGCGTGAATGCTATAAGGATATTTCTCATCAATCTTTTCGTGCGGATTTGTATTATCTTCGTCGTCTTCGGCGTTTTTGTTATCTTTATCAGAAGCTCTAGCAAACTCGCCATATTGTGCACCGAAAGGGTAGCCATTCCAACCGAAGGCGAGAACTTCCATTTCTTGACTGACAATCACCGCACCAACACCAGTAGTCGGGTCATCTGTGCGTTGAGCGAGGAGTCTTGCTATTTCTATGAAGCGTAGGGCTTTCTTCTCGTCGTCAGAATTACTCAATGGCAATGGATTAAAGCCTGTCGAATTTTCTGACTTTTCATTGCAAGATATAAACTTGTAATTCAATCCTCTGTCGTTTGTCACCAAAACTCTTGCTATCCATTCCATAACTTCTGCAAAGTCGCTGTGAACTTTTTTATGCATCTTTTTATCGTAAGATGGCCAAGGCAGGTTTGTCTTAATAGCGTCTATATCCCATTTAGAGCTTTCGTCAGGACTGTACTTCTTGCTGAATGAACGTGTACGCTCCTGTACATCTTTTTCTATCTCATTTGGTGTCAATTTCTTCGCAAGATTTCCGACGGGCTCTTCGACTCGCAAGACGAACTTTGTCTGGGCAATGGCACTTGCGGTGAACATGATTTCGACTTCTTTCATTTTCTCATCGTTGTACTCTTCAAGGGACTTAGCACCTGTTACATCTAAGCTTTGGTCAGCTTCGATATCTTCTGGCGGTCGATAATATTCTGGTTCTCGGGTCGGCAGGAAGAAAACTCGTTTCACTTTGGATTGAACCAAAAGCTTGGCGCAGAACGGGCATGGCTTTCGAGACATGAACATCTTACAACCATGGGTTTTTCCGCTGTGTTTGATCAACAGTCTAGCGGCGGCATGGACCTCATCTCGTGAACAATCAGCGGCCAAAGCCACATCGTTTGGTAACACAAGCACCGCTCCGACTCTCCTGTGTTGCTCTGGGGCTTCTTCTACAAAATCTTCCATCCACAGAGCGATTATCATGTAAAGTGTATTTTTACTTACTCGTAAATAACTTTCCTCGTATGGTTTTTTCACTTTTTTGTCAACCTCGGCTGAAGAGCCGGTCTGTTGTGTGTTATTTTGTTCTGTATCAACCGGACCTTTGTTCTGGTTTGACGCCATGTTGCTTTAAAGGGACTCTTATGAGTCTTTCAATTTATAAACTATGATAAATTAAACCGGAAATGTTGCAATATGAATTCTGGGAACTTGCATTCTGGGAACGGCGATATGAAAACAAACTTAATCTGCCCTATTGGCTGTAAGCCCAGAAAACAAGACGCCTGCTCTGGCGTTAGCTCCAACGCGCTGCACGCCCCAGTCTTGAATATAAAGCTTCTGAACATTAACACTACAGTTTATACTCATTGATTTAGAAGCCTTGCGAACCTCCATTCAATCCAATTCAATTTAAAAAATAAATTTTCCACATACAGAACACACAAAAAGACGTAGCACAGTATGTGGCAAGGAAGTCAAACAAGAAACCATAGGGGCTTATGAGGATATTTGACGAACCTAATCTTGCGAACCTAAATGTTGTTCGATTTATATTCAGACAACACACCGCGTGTTTTAAAAGTATAGAAGTGTTGTGAACCCGCGCTAATGGCTGTTCGACATTCTGAAACACATCGTACCTTAAAAAGTATAGAAGTTGAGCGATATTATTAAAATAGGACCAAAATCTACATGTATTAAGAGGAGATATTTTTATGTCGCGTATTTTGGCGGGAAAACGCTCAAAAGCTAAAATCTTTTCGGCGTACCGCTCAAAATTAATTTATTTTACAAATGCTGAAAATTTTAGTGCTGTTGCATGAAGATCAAGTCGCGCATCGGAAAATGTTTTCTTTTCAACTCTTGCGAGACAAAACTTTTGACGTAGATATATACACACATACGCTCTTCAATGAGCGTCGCATATTTGATTTGAGAGTTCACTGGTCGCATCCAGTCAAGTCCTGGGTACAAATGAGCATAAGTTTTCAATTGAAATACTAGTATATATTTCGCGCCAAAACACAATGCTAAGGCGAAAAATAATAAAAAAACAACAACAGAGAAATAGTAAAACAAAACCTAGGCTAAGCGAATTTTCAACTCCGTCGCTCAGGCCGGAGTAATGACGTTCTCTTTCTGTGCATTTTTTGCTAATAAGTTATAACAAACTAGGCAACATCTGAAACGTTGCTCTTCCAAAAATGGGCTCTTGCAATTACATCACAATATGAGTGATTCTACGGTCGCACCCATTAACCCATTTGTGCAGTAATAAATAAAATTTGGGCGGTCATTGCAGAATTTGTCCGCATGGATTTAGTCAATTCTCTAAATGTAAATTTAAAGTTGCAGAACATCATTACATAACCTTATGCCGATGCAGGGCAGCTAGAGCCTAGAGCTTTTCGGAAACAACGTTATTTTTAAGTAATTTAGCTTGGAGGTACACCACGTAGTTTAATACCGCGTTATTTTTACATAAAATTTTACCATTTTATGTGCTTTTAGTTTAGCGATGAAATTTCGTCAGAATAATTCCAGCATCACAGTGTAGGAATGAAATGAATATGTCCATGTATTGTCAGCGGTTGTCTTATGTAACATTTTAGGATTAGTGGGTGAAATACAAGGCTAGCGCTTTAGATTGCTCGTCTGTGAACCGCTGAAATACCAAGCCTGCTGTATTGGGAGAAACCCTGACGGTTCAAACCAACGTGAGCTGTTTACTGTTATGGTGCAAATAAATTTAAATATAATATTAATTTAAATACTATTCTAAATAATCATGACGTCATTTCGCGCATGCATCGGAATATCATTCTGCGCATGCGCAGTTCTCGTCGTCATGCGCGGTTGTTTCATTCGCTCGACAACGGTCTGTAATTTCATCGCCATCCTCACATCACCATCGACAATCACCTTGCTTTGCATATAGGCATCAAAAGCCGTCATCTCGCCCGCAAACAGGGCGCGCATATCGTCGGACGAGAGCGAGATGATCGCGTCGGGCTTGCATCCCGAAGGCGGGCCCTTGCCCGCACACCCACGGCCATATTTCAGGTCTAAGTACCAGACTCCTCCGTCGCCGGTGATGTTGAACTGATAGACGCAACCTATCTCTTGCACCAGCCGTTCGTCCGTCACATGATTAAATACGGCCACCAGTTGATCGGGGTCGAGGGGCCTGGGCTGAGGGGGTTGTTCACGCGATGCTGGCATGGATTGCACGTGATGGGCGGCTGGAGCACTTTGCATCGGTAAAATTTGTGGAGCTTGACCGCTTGTTGCTCCCTGCATAACTGTAAAAAACGAATATAAGCAATACAACAGTTTAGAACTGATAGAACTGTCCGGTATAAATAAAGTCAATTTAGTTCCTCTTATATTAAGTACTAGGTCACGTAATGATGGTTTTTTTCTTGTACTTACCTTGAAATATAGTACTTATTGGATTGTCAGCTCCTTTGAACATGGTTGAGAAATCAGGGTTGTACTCAGGTGGTGCACAGATGACTTGAGGTTCAGAGCTGAGATGAAGCAAAGTCAGATGTGAAATTACAGGAGGTAAGAAGTAATCAACTTTTGGTGTGATTTTCTCACAAATGTGATTGAGTGGGCAAGTTATAGAAATTCAAACAAGAGCACTTTTACACAGAGTACTCAAAACTATCCACTTGTTTGCATCAGTCAAATGAATATCGCACTGAAAATACTCACATTTCTATTCGGTGGATCTGCACTCCCCATGACTTTGTGGCTTTGTTCAGCTCATCCTAAAAACAAGGAAAACAAGAATGAAGCCTTTGTGGGTCAAAAGTCGATGAGAGTTGTAACTCTGGCTTGAAGTGGGAGGGGGAATCTTACCCCAGGACAAAGAGTGACCCCAAAAATGTTCAAGGTACAAGGGAATGGGGAGGAAGGTGGTGCAAATGGTGCAAGCCCCCTTCATATTCCAGTCCAATGCCAGTTTCTGGGATGAATGTATAATGTACCAATATATAGTCTCAATCATTGTGAGCCAGCATAGGTAATCAGGAGTGTCATACCTGAGCGTGTATACCAATAAACTTTTTATCATTTTGTAGTTCAACCAGTTTCAGTGTCATCATGATATTGACCAAGGTTGTTTGCGCTAACACACGCATGGAATGGTTCAAATCCTGCACAACACCTTTCGATGCCACTGGATTGGTAATCAGAAACTGGACTGTCGCCCCAACTAAAACTGCAGCCTGATCTTTCGTCAAAATCTGGAAAGAATATGTAAGTACTGGTCAGAAAGTTGTAACATGTGAGGAGTAACAGAATTTGCATGTACTTCTTCAGTATTATTATATCATAACATAATCATCAGATCTGAAGTTATACCTTTTGTGGTGGGACATTGAAAGCTTTCACACGCATGTCGACTCTTTCAAACTTATCAATGCAAGGCAAGATGAAAATGACTCCTTTGAAAACAAAAAATGAAGGAATACAGTGCAAGAAATTCACTTTTTTCATTGGAGCTAACTTTGAAAGAGTTAGAAGAGCATACCTGGCTGTTTCATAGATTGCAAGCGTCCTAAACGAAAAATTACACCTCTCTCATAGTCTTGGATGATCTGCAATGAAAGGTTTAAGCAGAATTTCAAACAAATAGATAATTTTGAATGCTAGATTTGTGACCCAAACAGCAATAACCTAAGGGTAATTTGCAATTTTTTGATCGAATTTTCCAATGACCATTTTCCTCTTCTCAAACAGTCCTGTTGCACATAGAGTTCAGTATATTTAACGAGACATGCGCATAACGTATCGTCAACCTCCCACAAGCACAGCACAAGTGTAGTGAAAGGACTATAAATACGACACCCCCAAATTCATATATTGGCTTCCCTTCGTTGAAGGATAAGCGCATTTAAATCTGTTCCGTGGTCGAAAGACCGCAACGTTGGGTTTGCCATGAAACGAACACACGAGCTTCGAAACGCAGTCGCCTCTGCATTTTTTAGTTGGTTTCTTCTCAAAACTATCGTTCCAATTCGCGAGATATTCCCTCCTACCTTCACGCAGCAAAACACGGACACAGGAAACGTTAAAACGGCAAAAAGATAGGCCAGAAACGTGATAATCCATCCCACTATGTCCGCCGTTTTGTTTGCAGATGTACGCTCTGTTAAAAACAAAACATATCGTTTATCACCAGCAACCTCCGGCTTCTATAAACAGAGTCTCCTTTCAAAATCACACAGCTTTTCAACACGAGACTTTGTTATTTAGACACGGAGATTTCAGCAATTCCTAATCTACCTGTGTACAGCTGATCCTCCGAATATAAACCCAAACGATCTTGCCCTCCTAAAACACTGTATTTTGATGCCATTTTGGCGAAACCTTTGACAATATTTTGAAGGTTGTTTTTTTTTGTTGATTTGTTTACATTTTGCAGGAGGAAGAAGCTTGATGCTCGACAAAATTTTCCCGAAATATTTTTCGTCAAGATGGCCGCCGCGATGATGCAAAGAACATATTGTGTTTTGCGATCTTTTCGCTCGCCTGGAAAGGTTTTGGCTTGTCGCGGCAAGGTGAAATCGGCAAGAAAGACCGTTCAGGTTACCGAAGGCCCCAGAGATTATGTGTACTTCTTGCACAATCATGTTGTGCCTTTGTATTCGTTTGAAGAAGCGATTGATAAGTTGAAAACGCACTCTGTTGCGGAGGGGAAAAACCCGGAACAAACTGTTACGATGTGTGTGAAATGCCAAGGATTGGATAAAGTAAGTTTAGAGATGGCTAGGGATTTACTAGTGACATTCTGTAAAAATTGCAACACTATGAGATCTACCTATCTGTGGGACTGTGCAAGAAGTGCGCCCCCCCCCCTAAGCCCCCACTCAACCATCTCAACCACCCCCACTCAACCACCTCAACCCCCACTGAACCCCCACTCAATCACCTTAGCCCCCACTCAACCACCTCCACCCCCACTCAACTGCTCCACTGCTTTGGATTAAATCCCAATACAGACTGTAAAGTTTTAGCTTTGAAAGGAAGAAGTGAAGTTTTCTATAAATATTGAATTAATTTTCATGCATGATTAAATTTTTAATATGTTTACAGGAAATCCCTTCTTTCCGTGGGACGCTTTTGTTACCCAGACCATTTGGCATAACAAAGAAGGTCCTGGTTTTTGCTGAGGTATGGTTCATCTGATGTGAAATACTCAGGTGTTTTTTATAAATTGAACTGTGGCTTGTATACAAGTCTTTCCAAGTTTCCTAGGCTGGTTTACTAAGAAGAATTTACCTTGACCTGTCATCCTCATAATTCACAATAATCCCAAAGCAGGATTAATTTCTTGCATTTGGAACTCTTTAATTTTGCATGCTTATTGGTTGTGTTTCTATGCTTCAACTTTTTTTGTGTTTTCACTTTAGGGCGATGAAGCGAAGGCCGCAGCAGATGCTGGTGCAGAGATTGTAGGTGGAGAGGAGCTGTTCCCCCAGGTTAGCAGGTTAACGCATATTATAAGCCCTGTTATATTAGTCTTAATTGGGCATGTAAACAGAGAACTAATAAATTTACTAGTAAATTAGTGTCATTGCATGTATGAGCAGCACCTTTGCCCCTGTGCATACCACTGATCTCAAAATACACTGGATGTACCAGCTATATTTATCAAACACAAAACTGGGATAACAAACTTTTAGAGGAGACCATTAAGAATGACTTAAGCATCACACAAACCCCAAGAAGGCTATTTCTATGTAAATACGTATGACTTGTTTGACCATAGCAAGATTTGCGTAACTAAGCATATTGCAAGTCATAGTTTTAAACACTAAGAATGCTGATAGTTTATTATGATCTGAAGGTGGAAAACAATGAACTGGAGTTTGATCATTGTTTGGCATCATTGGATATGGCAGAAAAAATCAAACATTTGCAGAAAGTATTAAGAGAAAAGATGCCTCACACTAGACGAGGTGAGAACTTTATTTCTGGGATTTTGAAGATACTGAGAATATTTTCAACAGAAATAGGCATATCACATTCGTAAGAAAAAGCTGGATATTATGCTAACTACTCGAAAAGGAGATTTTCACAAATACTTCCTTCCTGTTAAGTTATCATCTGACAAGCTTAATTGTTATAACAAAAGTCAAATCACTTGTTTTAGGTAGTGTGACCGATGACTTGGCAAATGCAATTCAGGCATTCAAAGATACCCGGGTGTACAAAACAGACAAATATGGATATGTAAACACAGCTATAGGCATGGTATGTATGTTGACTAATTCCCATGGTTTGTGCATATATAGTGTTCACATAATTAGACTGCCAAGTTTGGAAATTTGTGCTAATTTGTTTTTCTCTTCAGCTTAGTTTTTCATTGGAAGATCTTCATTTGAATGCTGCCGTAGTCATTGATGCTGTCCTGAAAAACCGCAGAACTAACAAAGGTAAAAAAAAATTGTAGAAAAATATATTTCCTGAAAGAGTTAGTCTTACCTGTTAGGCTATTTTCAAAATAGTCTGGTACCGTAAGCTTTTCTATTGCCTTTTTATTCCCATTCAAATGGACGAGTAATCGTATAGAATATTTGAACTTATTTCTTTCCTAAAGTCAATGAAATTCGGATCTACTTATCACATTTTCACACAGATGTGAAATTAATTGCACTTTAAGAGAGCCAGACTTCTTACTTCTTGTCCTGTCCAGCCACAGCATTATCTGAACAAGGCCTGAATATTTCATTATTCCTATACCTAGGAGAGTTTATCCGAAAGATTAGTGTGACTTCAACCCAGGGACCTGGATTTAGACTTTATCACGAGAAACTTGTTCCGTCTTCGAAAATGCGGTCCAAACATTGATTGTTACAAATGTGATTGAATGAATATATTTATATGTATGAAATCCATAATCTTACATAATTGAAACCGTTTTTACACAGTTTCATAATAGACCTTTCTGGTATCTGATATTCTATTGAACAGCTTTGTACAATGTGTGCCAGCCACTACCCCAATCTCTCCTGAATCTCTCCGCCCTCCCACTACTTCCCCCCACCCCATTCTACCTACTCACATACTCATCATCCCCTTTCCCATGAACTCCATTCCCCCTCCTACTTGCTCTCCCCCTCCCACTAACTTCATTCCCCCTCCTCCCACTTACTCTCCCCCTCCCACTAACTCCATTCCCCCTCCTCCCACTTACTCTCCCCCCCCACTAACTTCATTCCCCCTCCTCCCACTTGCCCTCTCCCCTTCCACTAACTCCATTCCCCCTCCTCCCACTTACTCTCCCCCTTCCACTAACCCCATTCTTCCCCCTCCCCCTTACTCTTCCCCCCTCTACTCCTCCTTCCTTAATTCTGGAGAGCAGCTCTGCATACGACACACGCTATTCAATTTATCTCTTCAATCAGTCGCCAAGTCAATCTGAGTCAAAGACGCCGACTGAGTCAGATGCGCTTTCAAGGGTTTCCCTTTCTCTTCGTCCATCACTGCTCTCTCTATCTCCAGTCCCTTCTGCACTCGATATTTTAGAATTTTGTTGTCCAGCTTTGAGTGTTAACATTTTCAGCCCGTGTGCCATTAACGCTCTGTCCTGACCGCAGCCCACAATCTCAGCCATATCTATAGACTCTTTTAACAAAGATGCTGCCTCCCGGAACCTCTGTTGTCTATAATACTGTTTTACTCTGATGATCATGAACTGCACTTGCGGGCCACGTGCGACATTCTCCAACAATTCCGTCTCGATCTTGTCCAGGTATTCGCCGGCTTTCGTGACGTCACTGTCCGGAACGTCGCGCTGTTGACCAAATATGGTATTAGCGTCGAGGAGCGTTCGCGCCATTTTTAACAACGCGTGAAATCGCTGGCTGTAGAGCGTCTTTTTTGTTTCCCTACCAGCCGCTTCCAGCTGTTTGGAAAAGCATTCTTTTGCATCTTCGAGGACCTTAAGGCCCGGTAGTGTCATGGTATCGCTTATTCCATTCAGATAACTCCCATAAGCGTCGTAATATCGACACCAATCTTCGTTGTTGTCAATAGTCGCTAGATTTTGCCACGCTTTGTTCAGGAAAGCTTTAGCTTTTCCCAATTTCCCCTTTTTTCGGTAACACGCGCTGAGCAGGAGACAGGCCCGCGCGATGTACAATCCCGGACACGCGGTGCTCGTGGCCAACTCGAGGGACGTCCGTGCGAGGAACTTAGCCTGCGGGAGCTGATCTCTATAGAGCATGCAACGCGATTGCTCGACCAATATTGCGACGGTGATATCCGGGCTTTCGTTTTTATAGCGATCGTGTTGTTTTGACGAATACCTGTCGAATTCATCAAAGTCGCCGTTGTCCTCAAGCCACGTTAGTTTCGCCATTATTTCATCGTACTTGGGGTGTGGCTTAAAGGTTGCGCGCTTGGGGGACTGGAACAGGTTTAGGACTATCACGTGATTAAAAGACGAGGATGATGCGGTTTGTGGCGGTTCATAAAATCCTGCATAAACCTCTTTAAAATGCCGGCCGAGGACTTTTAATACATCCTTGATACTTGTAACATATATCTTGTTCCCATTATGACGACGATATTTGTTGCCATGGTAACAACGCTCTATTGAAGTCTGACAACTCTGATCTTGTTTTTCCATATTTGTCAGATTTTCATGCTGGGTGTGTTCTGTGATGACGAAGGCTTTTTTAACTGAAAGTCTAAAAGACTTCGTTACCATTCTTAATAAATAGGTAAATACCGTCCAGATATATCTCAGAAAACCAAATTTCCCGGGAACAGCATTCTCCAATTCCGTTATTGTCGCCATTTTCCGGGAAAGTTTATGACTATAAAATATAAGATATACAATATGTAGTTGACTGACTTTATATATTGACCCCTCAAATTTAGTGAAATACACCACTGTACGCAGTAGACGGTCAAAATATGACATTAATTTATTAAAGTCTTCTTGAGAAATTACAAATGAAAGTTGACAAAGTAATTCGGTTCAAGAGATAAAGTTTTATTGTACGTTTGCTTTCGAAATTACAAAGTTTTCATGTATTCTTTAAAACGGACTGATGTGTCGCTTAATAAAACACGTCTGACAGTCATGACTCGTGAGAAAGTTACGACTACAACATATTGACATGACGATGTATGCAAATATTAGGCATGAATTACAAATATTACAAATACAAAGTCATTCCTTTTTATACACTTAGATTAGAAACACATAGATTAGACACGATAACTCGATAAAGAAGGTCAATATACCGTTTGATAGGCCAAACTGGCCAATCGTTAATCCAACAATTCTACAGAAGAGTTACTTTTGCCCGCTCAATTCGTTTAGCGACACTTTGCCTTGGTAGAAACATTTTGTTATTTATAAAACCGAGTTATATTGAAAACAAAACATGACGTATGGCTGTCAATGAGCAATTTTCGTAGGAGGTCTTCCTGTTCGTCACAAGACATGCATATGATGTGATCAGTAGAACCATGCGGAATGCGGAACTTTGAACTTTGGAGCTTATGCGGAACTTGTAAAGATAGTGTTAACCGACAAATGACAAAAGTAATGGAGTTCCTTTAAAGAGTACTTTTGTTGTTTTTTAAAGACAAAAATCGCGTCTATAGAACAGTTATATGCCACGACTGAAACTTATGTTTTTCCGCCACACTTTGGCAAATATAAAAATGAAATGGCGGTGCCTATAGTAAACTTGTACATTGCAAAACAAGGAAATAAATAACTGGATTTGTTAAACCAGAAGTTGTCGATACATTTTGCATTTATTGTACCACGTATTCTGTTACGAAACCTGATAAAACTCCTGAAAATACACGTTCTCCTGTTGATCTGCATATCCGTGTGAACTTTGGGTTTAAGCTTCCTCTTCGTGTGGTTGCTATGGTGAAATGAACATTCTTTTCACCATTTCACCATACCATCTCTGAAACACTTCCCCGCCGCGCTAAACGCATCCGGTGCCCACTGAAATCATTATGAGGTCATTGAGATGCCATAGCGCGAGTTAAGACCCTAGGAAATTATTCCCAGGGTAAATTACATGATTTACATCGGTGTTTTGTACCCGGCGATTGTGCAATTTCGTAACACGCGTGTTTCGTCAGAAAATGTGCATTAATTTGAGAAAATGGCCTGAAAGTTGTTGAAAATCGTTTGGAAAACTATCTTAAATCGTGGTCAGTCATGAATTTTGGTCGATCAGATGGCCGCTACACCGAGGAATACTCGTCGAATGACCCGACAATGGGAGTTTCTGGTAAGAATCAATGACTTTCATATTTAGTTTTATTTGACGTGACAATTATATGTGGTCGGCTTTAGTCGACGAAATTGCCATGTGTTCGCTTCTGATATTCCTAAAATTGGCATTTGGTGAGTGAAATATACCTTCAACTATCCGTTAAAATTTTGTTTGAAGAATTACCTTCCTGTTTCAACAGAATTAGGTCAATAATCGAACTTTGAAGTATATATTTAAATATACCAACTCATAACCGACCCTCTGTTTTTCCATTCTGAGTTAGCTCTGTAACCTGGTATCATTACAATTGTCATTCACCAAATGGCAATCACCTTTCTTTCAATATCAAAGCAAGCAAATGGGGGGACTTTATTTCTAGTGGAAATCATGCACAAATCAATTCCAACAATTCAAAATTTCTTTGATATGGGTCTTTGAAATGACAGAAATTGAACCTTCCCAGGCATTTTCTGTGCAGTGCTTTGACTGCTAAGTTACTGAGATAGCTTATCTTCTCATTCAATAAATTACATTTGATGTGACCAAAATGTGATGTTATAAGTAATAATTAACAGCAATATAAAAGAAAACATAATCCGAAAATAAACATCTTGTAAACCCAAGATATGATTTGTTAATATTGTGTCTTGTTTTTAACAACTCACATTTTGGGTTTACAAGATGTTTATTTTCGGAGTATGTTTTCTCTTATATTTCGCAAAACTGTCTGCTGGAAAAGGTGTTTGAACTAACAGCAATCCCCTGCTAACAAGAAAAATCAACTGGCATTAGATTTGATAGAATAGGAGAGTAATGGTAATAATGTGAGGTCATCTTAGCTGCTCATGCATTAGTTGACCTCTTCGTACTTCAACATTTAAAATGAATAGAACTTGTTTTAATTTTGTATTTCCTTTCCAATAGTTAACGCAAACACGTCATCATTATCGCCATATTTAAGTATCAATCCTTCATATTTACAACAGGTAAGGTTCTAACTTCTGCTGTTCATGTGAGAATGCAGTGGTTAATTGTTGGTTTGAATTTTCAGGGTAGTGGCGCGGAATTTGTATTCCCTGCGGATCAAAAAAAGACGCGGACATGGGGTGAAAGAATGTTCTCAGGAATTGGTTCGTCCTATCTCACAGGTTTAGTCATTGGCGGCAGTTGGGGTTGTTATGAAGGTCTCAAGAATCCTGATGGAAAAACGATGAAACTTAGAGTAAACAGGTTTGTTTGCTGCAAAATTATCACTTTATTTTCTATAGTTTAAATCTGGTTGCTGTTGGTCCATAATATTCAATTCATGTGGTATAGCTAGCCCAAAATAAGAGGGGTCCACTGTCAAGTACACAATGTCGGTGAGATGTGTTTGTTCCCCCCCTAGTTTTAGAACAATAATTAGGTAGGTGGGTCTTGATCCCCCCTTCGTTCCCCTGTTGGATGCCACTGAAAGTGTTACCTCTTTTTTTTAGTGTGTTAAATGGTTGCACACGAAGAGGGCCATTTGTTGCCAATAGTCTAGGAGTTTTAGCTTTAATGTACTCCACATTGGATTACGGCATTGGCAAAGTACGAGAAAAAGAGGACGAATACAACTCGATTGCTGCCGCCGTCTCAACGGGGGTGATATTTAAATCAACAGGTAAAAGAATTGATTTTCAAATGAACTTTTTCAAACAAATTTAATGTGTTTTTCGTGCTAACCATTTAGTTAATGATTGTGTTGCGTTTTTTAGCTGGTGTTAGAGCTATTGGGATAGCTGCAGCCGTCGGAGGCAGTTTGGCCGTAATTTATAACTTTGGTGAAAAACTTTGGGTCAGGAAAGGAAGCAGTGCGATTTCGCACCCTGGTTGGGCCTAAAATGTTACGTTTTCAAGAAATAGGCAAATAGGCAAAGAAAATATATTACACTGAGAATGTTATTTATCATAAATACAGAGATGTCAGTGTATTGAAAATACATTAGAATTTGCTGCACTTTCTCACTTTTGAAGATGAATAGTTTTTTTACCATAATTTTAAAGGATTATGTATTGAGGTTGCTGTGAACAATAATACATTTACATGCACAAGTATCTAAACATGAATTATCCTATTAGTGGAACCTGCTGTATATTATAATAATGAAATATACTATGAAGTGGTAATAGGTGGTTAAATAGAATTATTTTCAACCGTTTGGAAAAGTAGACTATGGGTAAAAATAATAGAGAGAAAATATTGAGATAAATGAACGAGGAAATTAACAAGAAATACTCAAGTCATGATTCCTTGACCCACACAGAAATATCCACATATCAAAACTTATAATTTGGATTCTAATTACGGATTTACGGTAAATCTTTATTGGAAGTTCCAATTGGTTGGCAATCAATTAGCATTATTTCGTATTCTAATTAGATGCAATTATTCTAATTAGATGCAACTTACATTTTCCAAAAATTCCTTAAAATTTCCGCAATCTCCCATGAAGCTCCGCTGGCTTGAAGCTCGTTCTTTTCCGCCATATTGGCAACTGCAAGGTATATTTTTATTATTTAAGTTTACAATCCCTTTGAATCAAGCTATTTCTGTTTGCTTTTTTCTACTTTTACGAGCGAAATTTTAAAATGCAATAAGCACCCTTCAATTTCGTGTCATTATTTTCCTCGTAGATGGCCCAACGACTTACTTTGAGGCGACGTTTGTCTTACAACACAAAATCCAACAGCAGACGAATGTAAGAGTAATATGCTGGAAATTCTTGCTTTGCTTTCTGTTTTGTGATTCTGATATTAAATTTATTAATTTCTTTTAATTTTCTTTCTACAGCTCAAAAACACCAGGTATAGTGCGATGTTTATTCTTTACTAAATTGTATTCAGTGACAAAAATTATCACAAGAACCCACAAAGTTTGAAAACTTAAATAGTAATGCACTATTGTACTCATGGTCTCCGAGGAGATCGAAAGATAACAGTTTGACAATGAATACTATCAACTAGTGTGACATATTGTGACGCTCTCTGATTGTAGTCTTTGTAATTGAAGTATTTTAATACGAAGAGCACGTTTTTTATATATTGAATTTGTGTTCATTTCACAGGAGGTAAACTTGTATACCTTTACACGAAAAAGAGAGGTAGTGTGCCAAAATGTGGTGACTGTAAAAAGAAACTGCAAGGGGTAAGCATTTATCAAGCACTAATTGACAGGGGCCGGTTGTATCAAGCCCGTTTAGCTTAAACGGTGGATAAGTCAAAATTAAATAACACTCTTACAACTCTCTTGAATGAGACAACTTGAATATTATGCACTTAATATTTAGTTGCAAACAGTATCTTTGTATTAAGATTAAAAACATTTAGTTTGCTTGTTGAATAAAACGATAGACTTGCTTTCTATTTTGAACTTATCCACTGTTTAAGCTAAACAGCCTTGATAAAACCGGCCCCAGAAGTATAGTGCAGCTAGCATAGATCAATCAGTGATTATCAACCCTCTATGCCAATCAGTTGATCAATGGAGTCTAATACCTTTACAACCACTGCTGTATTAAACTATCCCAATACAAGCATCTAACATTGAGAATTTTGTTCAACATGTGGTATCTTAGCCCATTTTCAGATGTTGAACTTCTTGTGTGCCGAATCAAATGCAAATGAACTTAAACAAAGTACATGAAAAGTTCCACATCTGAAATAGGCTTACGGTTCTTGTTCTCTTTTATTTTTACCATGCTCCTATTCCAGTATAACTCAATGTATTTAGTACGCACACTCATAACCAGACAGCAAGTTAATGACCATTTGCTGAGTTCCATGATATTGCCAACATGAAAATGTACTGGTCACTTATCTCCATAATCAACTAATGATCCTAGTCAAATATATTGTTGTACAATACATAAAGTTCATCAATGATTCAAAAATGCACACAAACGGACACCAATATGAGTTTCGACACAAACACAAGAGAATAATCCACATGGGTTTTTTTACAAATTGATGATTTATTTACACAAGAGAGTTCAGTTGTATACTTTCATCTGAAAATTTGTTGTTGGATAATTAATTCAATTGTGTTGGCATAGTCGGGCTGGATAAAATGTTTACAGAAAGTTGGGAGAATCTTCTGTAAATGTTCTTTAGAAATGCTTGCTTTTGAAGTACAGTGTAGACTATAGAATGCTATGAAACCATTCTATGGTCAGCAACTCAATTCTACGGTTTATTACAGTTACCTAATTTTGCTGTTTATATCATCCTAGTTGCCGGCAGTTCGTCCTAGGAAACTTAAACAACTATCCAAGCCTAAAAAGACGGTTTCAAGAGCCTACGGAGGTTCCAGATGTGCCCAGTGTGTGAGGGAAAGGTAAGTAAAATATGAAATGAATGTTTATCAGTCTGGGGTATTTGCATCACTAGTGGCTAGGCAATGCTCTTCTTTTGTTGCATACAAACATAAATTCTATGTTCAATCATAGTTTTTCAAGTGAACGTTGAAATTGAAAGCTGCATAGGCATAGATCTTACTCCTACCTGAGGACCTCAGTTGTAATTTTTGCAATGTTTATTCTGCCCTTGGTCTACTGAACAACACTCAACATTTCATTTGCGGGGTGATGTCAATGATAATTTGACATTGACCAGGCTTGAATAATAAAATAACATGTACTTGTTGGATACGAAAACATTGCATAAACAAAGACCAGCTTTGTTACAATTTGACCAACCGAGATTCAGTATTCATTGTGGTTTAAGGGTTGGCTTGTTTTTATCAAAATTACTCTTATCACAATGGAAACTTGGTAATGAAGTCTAAGTTTCAAAGAGTTTTTTAAAATATCAGAGTTAAGTGCCTTTGTTGATTAAAGGTAATTTACTTTTGGGTCGGCGCATTTGTTCTGCTCTGAAAAACGCGGGTCCAGCTTACTGAAAATTGCTCAAAACAGCAGTTTTTAGATTTTTCTGAACAAAAAGTTAGCAGTTTGTTATGTAAACAAAGAATTTGTTTACATTACAGCCTAGGTAACCTCTTTATTAGATCCATTTCAGCTTGCTCAAATATTTCTAGCAAATGTTTGAAAATCCGAATAATATCTATTGTTAAAATAGATAATGAAAAATATTACAATTTAATGTTTCCAATGAGGATTTTGCAGCAAAAATGATCAAACTTCTTAAATTTCAATACCTAATTGCTAATATTAAATGTTTCCATTTTTGCAAAGAAATTTTATAGCTAAAAAAATAACCAGTTCGAATGTGGCAAAATAACTGCTTAGACTAGACAAACTTCTCAATATTTTAACCTAAGAGCCTTCAGCCTTCCTCAGGAGAGTCCATTTTACTCAGTCATTTCACTGATTTTACTATACGAACTTCCTTAAAATTTCCACGCAAATGTAAGGAAATTGTGAAAGTGGAAGCACTGTCTTAATATGATGACGAATCACTCTTTAGAAAATCTTTTAGAAAGAGCTACACAAAAGTTTACACTAGAGCAATCTTGGGCTGGGGGCTAATGCTGTTTATATACAAATAACGGGTACGCATTACGTCTTCCTTAGAATTGTACGGGCATTTTTAATTGAAGAACAGAAGATTGTTGTTCGCGTATTAAAGGCGCAAAGTGGAAACAAGGGAAAAGGCCAATGAATTGTTTAAAATAAAAATACATATTCTTTATGTACAAATATTGTTGTCGTTTTTTGATTGCCTTGCCTTCGGACACCTGTTTCTTGACCTGTGATTCCAAACCTCCTTTTTTCTCACAACTCAGACGGTATGCAATTTCCTATATGACGACATAATGATCCTTCTATAATGGAGTGGAATATTTACCCTGATCCAGTTCACAATAAAGCCTTCAATATGAAGTTGACTAAAGTCAAATGGGAACTAAATTATTGCAAATCGTAAAAGCGATGCATTGTTTAAAAAAATCTTTCCCTTTGTATCTTTCCATCGCTGAATATTGTCTGGCAAATGCAACGTTAGTTTAACTTAGCAATGCGAATGTTGAGTCGCCCATATGGATCAAGTTCTTTATCCAGTTCGGTGCTGCTGCTTTTTCATTCTATTTGTGGCTCGTCCTTAATACTTCCTTTGAGTGAAACTGTGAAAGTAGATGACGAATAAAAAAATCCTGGCATTTTGACCTTGGAACTGACTTCCAAAAGTATAGACAAGGAGGTGCCTGCCCTGACTCTGTGGTCATTGTGACATGCATAGAAAAATTATGCAAGCACACACCATCTACAACGCCGGTCTTTATTGTGGGAAAAAGAATACTTCCTACGACTGGGTTTTTTTCCCTATAACTGCCAGTGGCCGGTTAGATATAAAAAAACTGACCGGGTGGATTTACTGATGGTAGTAATGTAAATCATCAGAATCTTCAGAAATTTAAAACCCGAAACGCGCGGCAAACATGAAATCTCATTAGATTTCATTAAGAATTGATAGACATGCACTTAACTTGATCTTTGGTTTATATCTAGTATAAATATTTACTCGTGTGAATAAACATCTAAATGTTGTGCAATGTCAACAATTGAGACATTTACCAGCTGAAGGAAGGTGCCCGGTTAATTTCCGTGCACGAAGCGCTGCAAAAGAAATGCACAGTCGGCCTGGAAATCCGCACAAATCAATTTTGCACTGGCACTGAAAAAAGGCTTTCGACCGTAGTATGAACAAACGTGCAATGCGGAAGCATAACTAAGGTTGCGGCTGGTGGTGCGGCAATAGCCATTTCCCATTTTAGCTTTCAAGCGCGCAATGCGTGACGGTAGTTGATCATCAAGGTCAACTTGAGTTGTTATTTCGCAATGTTCAGGAACGATTTAGTTTAACAAAGAAGCAGAGGAATCGGCAAGGTTCTCTTACAAACAAAATCGCTTCAAAGCAGAGCGATATTGCAACTGAAAGTTGTTTGATAATCAACTACCGTCACGCATTGCGCGCTTGAAAGGGGAATGGGGTTTACACACACGTATCTACATAAAAATCGAGTTAACGGGAACTAAAGTTAAAATACACTTGATCATATTCTGAGCTGTTTGAGCAACAAAAATGTTGTTCAGGTAAAATGTAGGCCCAGTTTCCGTAGCCGTAGGAAAATTTAGGCAATTTCATTAAAAGGTTGATCATCATCATATGACACTCCCCAATCCTGACTCGCTCGCCAAGTGCAACGTTAGTTTAACTTAGCAATGCGAATGTTGGGTCCCCCATTGTCCCCCATATGCATCCAGTTCTTTATCCAGCTCGGTGCTACTGCTTTTTCATTCAATTTTTGGCTCGTCCTTAATACTTCCTTTGAGTGAAAGTGTGAAAGTAGATGACAAAAGAAAGCCTTGAAGCAATTCTCGAGTTTTCGTTTCTTTGACCTATTCTTGCATTTTGACCTTGGAACTGACTTCCAAAAGTATAGACAAGGAGGTGCCTGCCCTGACTCTGTGGTCATTGTGACATGCATGGAAAAATTATGCAAGCACACACCATCTACAACGCCGGTCTTATTGTGTGAAAGAATACTTCCTACGACTGGTTTCTTCTTTATAACTGCCAGTGACTGGTTACATATAATAAAAGAAACTGACTGGTTGGATTTGCTGATGGTAGTAATGTAGCAGAATTGGCTGATCAGAATCTTCAGAAATTTAAAAACCCGAAACGCGCAGCAAACATATGAAATCTCATTAGATTTAATTAAGAATTGATAGACATTCACTTAACTTGATCTTTGGTGCAAATCTAGTATAAATATTTACTCGTATGAATAAACATCTAAATGTTGTGCAATATCAGAGACATTTACCAGCTGAAGCAAGGTGCCCGGTTAATTTCCGTGCACGAAGCGCTGCAAAATGAATGCACAGTCGGCCTGGAAATTCGCACAAATCGATTTCGCACTGGCACTGAAAGTAACGGCTTCCGACTGTAGTATGAACAAACGTGCGATTCGGAAGTTTAAGGTTGCTGCTGGTGGTTTGACTATTCCCATATTTGCTAACATTTAAACTAACCAAAGTACAAAGGTGTAGACATCAGGGGCCGGTTGTTCGAAAGGCGTTTAGCTTAAACGGTGGATAGATTAAAAATGGAAAACCAGATTATCTATTTATTGAACAGCTAAGCTGAAATATTTCGATGTAAATAGTTTAATTGTCAATAGAAGTACATATTAAATGCATAAGATGCAGGTTCAGTCATTCACAAGATGTATGAGAGTATTTTTAAACTTTGGCTTATCCACCGTTTAAGCTAAACGCCTTTCGTACAACCTGCTCCAGAAAATTATCTCGAGCGAAGATTGTACCGTCGTCTACCGTACAACTGTATTTTCTGGGATACCATCTTGATTTAACAAATTTCACGAAGCTTTCTTGCCATTCATTTATTTGATACAAAAAAATGTTGCTCAGGTGAAATCTAGACCCAGATTTCATTAAAAGGTTTATCATCACAAGACACTCCCCAATCCTGACTTGTTCGCAACGCCCCTAGATATTTCGTTAATTGCCGAGGGCAAATAAATGAACAGCTACCTGGAGAAACCAGCTGAAGGAAGCTAACGCCAGTCAGTAATTCCCACGATGAGACATCCCAGTCAATTTCCAAATCGATAGCATAAAAGTCGTGTGTTCGTCAAGCTCGGATCAATTCCAGTTTGGTCCGAAAGACAACCTTGAAGAAATAAGAGATTGAAGAAAGAAGACTTTGAAGAAGACAAGCAAATCGAGAAGATGAAGTTTGGCATCGCAATTATTGTTGCTTTGGTGATTTTTCTTTCCCCATCAGGTGTGTGTAGCATTATTCTTGCCTTTAGCTGTGTGTTATTGCTTGTTTTTCTAATTAATGCATGCCTTTCTCGCCTTTATCCTTTCTTATGATGACGAATAGGCCGCCTTTTTGGGGGTACTTTTTAGTGCAAAGTTTGAGAAACTTTGCAGTATTGTGATGAGTGGCGAAAATTCAAACGAGTCAGTCAGTCAGTCATAGTGTAACTTTACGGGGGGTAGTTGATTTATGCGTATAGTAACTTTTTGTATGTGATCATTAATTTAAAGTTTTTAAATCAGTTTAACTTGCTTTATTTATTAATGCACTATATCCCTTTTGCGAAGTTCACCAAAATATTGAGGAATTTTGACAGTTACTGTAAATTTTGAAGCATTGCTTTTCCGCGGTTTGGGTTTCGTTTTAAAGGGATTTGCGCAGTGTTACCCCCCGGAACACCTGATTTTTTCTTATACGTCGCAACTGCGCATGTGCCGTCTAGACTTGAACGTTATTCACGTTGTAAAGAAACGAGGAGCGACGAGCATTGCTTCAAAACATTCCGGGCGTAAAAATCGAGCAATTCTTTGAGAATCTACGCAATTTATTTATCAACTTATGTTATGAATTACGAGCATTCAATTCAACACAAATATAATTTGGAAGGTTTATTCCATAAATAGAGCTATAAGAGGTTAGCAAGCAAGTCGATACCTGATATTCTGCATAAAGTACATAAATGATACTAAACAAAACGGACATTTTGTGCAGTAATCAAATCATTTTGGCGGTATACAGTATTGATTATAAGTATATTGTTTTGTATCGATTTACGCGTCGAAGTTATCCACATCATAGACATAAATATGCACCGCGGTTTATTTACATTATTTAGTAACTTATTTACAACACAACTATTTTGGCCATTGGTATGAAATGACGGATAAATTGTTGCCATCATATAAATGTAGTGAATGTAGTCACAGTTGTTTGACGAAGAAAAGAGATTAAACTGAGAAAATCGCGCCCGGTTAGGCTGGTTTACATGGGCAACTAAAATTATAATTTAATAGTGACAGTATCCGCGGCTAACGTAACTTGAGTACTTTGAGTAATTTCCTTTTGATTAATGTTTAACCTAGTTCATTATAGTTACTGGCATTAGTCAAATGTTTATATTGGGACAAACGTCTCTGGTTGCTTAGGTATTACAGGGCATGAAAACTTTGCACTATCCTTGAATCCCTAGTTTCAAAACTGTAGGCGTAAGACCTCGTAACGGCAACTATCTTTAATTTCAGGCTGAATTTATTCTTCAAATGTTCCGTTGTTCTAAAAAAAAAAAGCTTTTTATGTTGTTATAATTTTTAAACGCATCTCAGAAAATTGAAAGTACCCCAAAAACGTCATCGTAAGAAGGGCTAATTAAGGCAACTTTTTTTCGGTACTGTCTATATAGCACAGGTAGATTCCGCCATTCCGGTTTCCAGCGCGACTTACCTCAATGTTTTTTTTAGTAAACGGTGCGGAAAGCGACGTGGTTCGTGTTTTTGACAAAAAGACGCAGATGAGTGGCGAAAAGGTGCTGGAAATCCTGGAGAAGGCTGACCTCGAGAAGTATGGATTTAAGAAAACCGTCGAACAATCCACGAAGACGGATGAAAATGGTAAGATAGTCAAAAAGACGACCATTTACTATTTGGCCACCGATGATTGCTCTAGGGTTTGGTTCTGGGAGAGCATTTTGGAGCAACGTTTGCCAGCAGAGTTGAGAAACTCGAAGTTCGCTTCAACCATCGTGAAAGAAGTCAAAGATCGTATCACCGGTCGCAAGACAAAGACCTGCAAAGTTGGCCTGGAAATTCATCCAAAACGTTGCTTAGGCAACAACAGTGGTAAACGTGGTATCGCAGATTGTTCGTGGCATCTTGTCTGTTGGGCTGCCTCCATTAAGTACACTGATTAACTAGCTTACCAACTGTCACTTTAAAAGCTTAAATATAATCCTTTGGAACTGATAAGAACTGATCAATAATTGTGTAGTTTTTTTGTAGTATTTTTGTAGTGACCACTCTATACTATAGCGGTATAGTTTGCTAGTATATCTAATAAACACATATTCACCCCGGCATATTGTTTAATTTCGCTTCAAAATACACTATATTAGGGGCTGATTACATGGAGTGTTTTCAGCCGTTATAAATTCCTAACAAAATCGCGCATGCGATTACATGACAAGAATTTCAGCCCGCGCGGGCTGGAACTTAGTGTTGTTGTCATGTAATCGTAAATAAACTTTAACCCGGACAGCAAAATTCACCTTGACAATGCTTTTTCGTTTGTTTATTTCATTTTTATGTGCAGTCATAGTCTCTTAAAGGTCAGGTTATTGTCGTTCGGGATTTTAAAGCGCTCGAAGAATCGAAATAGGTCTACTATACCAGCCTTTACAAACTCAGCCCGGGCTGAAATTTCAGCCTGGTTTTGAAGTAATTCTGACGTGTCATAACACAACTCGGGCTGAAACTTGCCATGTAATTGAAAACTGTTTGCAGCCCATTCGTCTCCAAAATCATGCTTTCGTTAACGCCGAGGCAACGACTGCCCCCGCTTTCACCAGAAGCGCGCAGATTGTCCCGTGTCACAAGCCAAAGTTGCGAGTGTCACAAGGCGCAAAGTGGAAACAAGGGAAAAGGGAAAAGGCCAATGAATTGTTTAAAATAAAAATACATATTCTTTATGTACAAATATTGTTGTTGTTTTTTGATTGCGTTGCATTCAGACATCTGTTTCTTGACCTGTGATTCCAAACCTCCTTTTCTCTCACAACTCAGACGGTATGCAATTTCCTATATGACGGCATAATGATCCTTCTATAATGGAGTGGAATTTTTGCCCTTATTCAATTCACAATAAAGCCTCAATATGAAATTAAACTAAAGTCAAATGGGAACTAAATTATTGCAAATCGTAAAAGCGATGCATTGTTTAAAAAAATTCTTTCCCTTTGTATCTTTCCATCGCTGAATATCGTTTGGCAACGTTAATTTAACTTAGCAATGCGAATGTTGGGATCCACTTCTTTATCCAGTTCGGTACTGCTGCCGCTTTTTCATTCAATTTGTGGCTCGTCCTTAATTAATACTTTCTTTGAGTGAAACTGTGAAAGTAGATGACGAAAGAAAGCCTTGAAGCAATTCTCGAGTTTTCGTTTCTTTGACTTGTTCTGGCATTTGGAACTGACTTCCGAAGGATATAGAGAAGGAGGTGCCTGCCCTGACTCTGTCATTGTGACATGCATGAAAAAATTATGCAAGCACACACCATCCCTAACGCCGGTCTTTTCATGGAATTACATCCAAAAGGTTGCTTAGGAAAAACTTCAACGGCAACGACTGGGGCAAACGTAGTATCTCTGGCTGTTCGAAGCATGTTGTCTGCTGGGTCAACCTTTAATACTGTTGATTGAGGCCTTAAAGGGCTTAGAAAATGGACTTAATTGGGGACTAAGAGCTGATCGATGAATAATTCTGTAGTTTATTTTAATAGTAGTGTAATTTCTCAGCATAAATGAAATAAGCTGAAAAAACTCATTTGTATTTAGCACAAGCATATTGTTTATTTCTCACTTATATATAACGGTTGCTGCAAGAAAATTGCTTTAGACATTAGATAACGCTATGATTAGTTTCATTACTGTGCCATGCATCTTTCAACGAATATTATAATATGCATGTATGGTAAGGGAGAAAACTATATGTATGAAAAACTGTTCCCATCCTATCCGGAGTCTGGCAAAGGCGACATATATTTACTACAAATTAAATCATTTTAATAATAAATGCTATCATGTATGCGTATTTCCAACTTTTCCTATTAAAAAGTGCCACTTACTTCATTAAAACGAATTTCATTTGTTAGTGTCAAAAATGCACAATACCGTATATGCCTTATCATATACCAATTTCATTTGTTATTGTATATATTGTCAAACACTCGGGATTATGTCGATGTGTGGCCGTCCCATTGCAGTCGAACCTAAAGGTTAAGTTGTTAATCCATTAAATGTGTTTTTGAAATTACACATCGCTGGAGAGATCTAACCAGCTTAGTCCTAGATTATTTGATTGCCATGTGGCTCTCGATTTAGCCAAACACAACAGATGATTTCATTTATTTCGGCTCTAACTGAATCTTGTTATGTAATATAATCATCTTCCTTGCTAATCCCCTTCAACTGTAGTCTGTCAGACTTTTGAATTATCTAATTCGCTTTCTAAATATTTACCAGGGGCCGGTTGTATCAAGCCCGTTCAGCTTAAACGGTGAATATAAAGTTCAAAATAGAAAGCAAGTCTATCGTTTGATTCAACAAGCAAACTAAATGTTTTTAACCTTAATTAATCCAAAGATATACTGTTTATAGTGGTTAACTACATATTCAGTGCATAATATTCCAGGTGACTCATTAATACAACCGTCCACCCCCAGTGCCTTAGAATAGCGTTACCAGCTGAAAGGAAGCTTTGTTTTTCTGAGATTATATTTTTATTACCAAACGCCGCCTAGCTGATGAGATCGATATAATAATCATATCACGAACAAGTTTTACCCAATTATATATATATATATAATGTTTGAATGTTTGCCCGCTGTGTATTGAGGAAAAAAGGCTTATCATGTTATCTAATAAAGAAGAGTCGTTGAACAAAAGATCTGAAATATTCAGTAGATGCCGACATAGATTTGGCTTTAAGGCCTGTTATGTTAAGCGCGCGCAAACTGGTACATTTAAGCGCTTGCGTTAACAATCAGAAACGCGTGTGCATAACCGTTACATCTTAATTGCGTGTTAGTAATCGCCTGATGATCGTACACGGTAGAAGCATAGGTAGCCCAACACTCGTGGTCCGCGCGCGTACACGCTACTCAGTGATTGCATATATTAATTTATCCTAAGGTTGGCAACTTTATCAACAATTATCAATAATATATCACATACATACATGTCAAACTTCGATAAAAACTGAAAAACTACCACAAAATACTGCAAAATTAATAAATATAAATGAACTTGGATATATTTTCTAAATTTCGACATAGTTTTTAGCTTCAAAATGTATTGGGAAATACGGAAATTTGTTCATTTAAAATAAAGTTTTTGAAAATATATTGTCGAAATTTTCTTGTCGATAGGCGGGATCCAATTTACTCTACATTACGTCACCTTCGGAGTCAATCGGAGAAATCCCGAGTCAATCCTATTGGCTGTTCTCTCATGGAGCAATCTTCGGAAATTTTCCGACTTTTCAGCAGCCAATAGGATTGACTCGGGATTTCTCCGATTGACTCCGAAGGTGACGTAATGTAGAGTAAATTGGATCCCGCCTATCGACAAGAAAATTTCGACAATATATTTTCAAAAACTTTATTTTAAATGAACAAATTTCCGTATTTCCCAATACATTTTGAAGCTAAAAACTATGTCGAAATTTAGAAAATATATCCAAGTTCATTTATATTTATTAATTTTGCAGTATTTTGTGGTAGTTTTTCAGTTTTTATCGAAGTTTGACATGTATGTATGTGATATATTATTGATAATTTGTGATAAAGTTGCCAACCTTAGGATAAATTAATATATGCTAATCACTGAGTAGCGTGTACGCGCGCGGACCACGAGTGCTGGGCTACCTATGGTAGAAGTACGTGAAACACAGTGTAGCGAAATAAAATTTTAAAAAATTTTAAGATTGTAATTTGTTGATATATATATATATATATATATATATATATATATATATATATATATATATATATATATATATACTGTTAAAAATACAGTTAAACTACGACTATCTTGAAAAACCAGCATCGTGACTCGTGTGCAAAATGTTGTTACAATTTCCGATCTAACTTATGCGACTTATTGCAACCTCCTAATGTACATTTATAAGAGGCACAGCTATAGGATCCAAAATTAACAGGCAGGATGGTGGATGGTGGCGATTTATTCGACCAATGTGAAAGTACTCAAGGAATCTAACCACACACATTGCCGCAACAAAAAATAAACTTTACATAAGGACAATATTTAATTAGTATATTATTATTAATCACACTAATCTTCGCAATTTTGGGGCGGATTAATGCTGGAAAGCGCTGTTTTAATTGCTTTTATATTATTATATAATCCACCCTGGATTATGAACATTGCATATCTCATTCGAACAAAGATGCTATACAACAAGTGCTACACATTACTCCGGCGCATGAAATGGCCTTGAAATGGTGGTCATCGACCTGAATATTTGAATTGCTATACCTTTGGAAAGACTCTAGACTATCTGGGGAATTTGGTAAATCAAACTGTTTGTTCATATGTAACATGTTTATCGATGGTAAATAAACTAAAAGCTACCTGCATGAGAAACCAGCTGAAGGAAGAAAATGTCAGTCAGTAACTTTCAAGACGAGGCATCCCGGCTAATTTCCATATCGACAGCATAAAAGACGGGTGTTTGGCAAGCTGGTTCATATGCAGTTTTGTCCGAAAGAAGAACTTGAAGAAAGAAGACTTTGAAGAAGATTTAAATCAGGAGAGAAAATGATGTTTGGCATCGCAATTTTTGTTGCTTTGGTGATTTTTTCTTCCCCATCAGGTGTGTTTCGTATTGTATCTTTCTATATTCCTAAAATTACCACTTTCATTATCTAAAAAATGAAAATATCTTCAGAGATTCTAAGTATGGTTTTCTATGGTCGTAAGAGAGACTTTAGACTTAAGAACTTTAGACTCAAGGCTAACATCTTACTCCTTTGCACAGTCAAAAGCGAAAGGTTTTGGATCTTTTAGAATGTTTAATAAACTACTGGAATGTTTAATAAACTAATGGAATAAACTACTCGCCCTACGGGCTCGTATTCCCACTGATTATTTCTCGTTCTCCCAAACTCCCACGGGTGTTTCTATACTGTTTAGAAACACGGGAAATGTTTTCTATTTTGTTTATAATATAACTCAAAAGAGATTTTTGTACAAATATTATAATTCGATTCAATTACAAATTCGATTTAATTACAAATTCTCATTACATTGCCTCGCTTGTCAATTTCGGCGGGAAAATTCCCTTCAGTTTATACAGTTATCGAAACACGCTTCTCGACCAATCAGCACGCGCGTACTATAAATTTTATATTATAAAATATTTCATCGTATGTCATTTTTAGTGTATGGAGCAGAAAGCGACGTGCTTCGAGTTTTTGACGAGAATTTACAATTGACCGAGAAAGAGATGGAAGAATACATGAAGCAAGCGAATCTGGAAAAATATGGTTTTAAGAGAACCGAGGAGACCACGACTGAAACGGATGAAAATGGAGAGAAAAGTACAAAGAGAATCATCTACTACAAGGTCACCGATGATTGTTCTCGAGTCATGTTCTGGGAAGGAGTCCTTGAACAACGCTTGCCAGAGAAATTAAAAAATCTGAAAATCTTTTCAACCACCGTGAAAGAGATTCAGAATCGTATTGCTGGCAGGAAGACAAAGGAATGCACAGTCGGTTTAGAGATCCATCCAGGTCGCTGTCTCAAGTCCAGTGGAAGCAAACGTCGTGTGGCTAGAGCTTGCAATGGGTGCGGTATCTGTTGGGGTGCAGCCATCGTTTACGGCAACTAAGGAATATAAGATACTTGTACTAATAATCTACATTTGATTATCTCTGTAGTATTTCTGTCAATATAGACAGCAGTAGTTGGATTAATAAATGATCGTTGCATTGACTCGTGTTATTTTATCATTGTTACTGAATACATAAAGAATTGATTTGACCTCGTCGATTTTTCCACTATATGTGGTGAGTTTCCAATCTTCTATTATAGAAGCCTTCAGCCTCTTGCTTTTCTGACCGATACTAAGTGTGACACCGAGTTTCAGGGCCTTGAAACTTTTAGTCATCATTCAAGATGATTAAACTTGTGACTCTCACAATAAAATCAGTGGCGCAGGCAAGGGGGGGGGCAAGGAGGGGGGGCAAGGTAGGGGGCAAGGAGGGGGCAAGGAGGGGGGCAAGGAGATGGGGCAAGGTAGGGGGGCAAGGAGGGGGGCAAGGGAGGAGGGCAAGGAGGGGGGCAAGGTAGGGGGCAAGGAGGGGGGGCAAGGGAGGGGGGCAAGGAGGGGGGGCAAGGAGGGGGGCAAGGGAGGGGGGCAAGGAGGGGGGGGCAGTGACCCAATGATTTCTAGAATCGGCTTTCAGATTTGTCCAAATTCAATGAAACGGAAGAAAGTTAACAATTTTGAAATTTACTAAAACTCTAAAGTAAAAATTCAATTCATTCTGAACCTTCCCCAGAATTTGCCCCTCAAAAACAATTGCTGGCGGCGCCACTGAATAAAATACAACAATTCAGTAAAGTCAGGGTGTATATATGCGCCTAGTCAGTGTCCCCCCCTCCCGACTTTCAAAGTGATAAGAAAAATCACCATTTGAAAAGTGAACTTTTCCCGCCAGTTCTAAATTTCCAAAAATAAATTGCCGTGCCCCTAAACACAACACCCGTCCTCCAGCCTCCTATGTCCCTGAATAAAATATTGACGCATAAACCATCAAGGTCGCAAGACTCGCCTTAACCCCCTCCGCGCTGTTCTTACGACTGGCGATATTTGAGAACTCTGGGAGTGTTCAGTTTAACATGCGGATTACGACGCCGAACAGATTTTATTCAAATGCTTGAATCGGGATTTTTAAGAAACGTCCAAACTTTGCTTTTAAAATGATCTTCCTGATAGTACGGCTCTGGTTCATATTATATTGAGTGGGTATCAAATTGATGTGTCGTTGGGTCTGGATCTCCAGGATCCAACGTTTTATGTATAATCGTTTTACGTTTTGTCCATCGTTCTCATAGAAACACCTGCATTCTGTTGAACAATGAATAAAATAAACTTGCAATACTGAAAGATTCACGAATGTTTACGCAATTCTACAATACATCACAGAGTTTCTGCATAACGTTTGATTAACTTACAACTTGTTTTTCCCAAGAGTAAATAAAAAGAGACTCGAATCCTTCCAAATTTCGTCATTCTCGTGGTATGGCATTTGTTTCAGCTTTTTTTGGATCTATTGGGGGATTTTGACCTTGCAACTGACTTAGGGAAGTCAACAAGGAAATGGTTGTGAACATTCTGTCATTTGAGGAAACTATTATTGTTGTCAGAGTTTTGGGAAAATTCTGCCATCGCAGAAGCGGGTCACATACAGTGTTGGTTACATTTGTTCACCAACTCTTTTACGAGTCCTTCATCTATTGGGCATCCTCACGATTCGTACTCTCTGCATTTCATTTCCGAAAGTAGAATTTTCATATGAATGACCTAAGTTTCAAATTTCTGTATGTTTATCTTCAAAATAGGCTATAGATGAAATATCAGAACTCGAAGTCCAAATATATCATATTGTTGGACCGATTCAAACTGGATCCAACTTCATCTGCAGGTGACATTTATTCACGAACTTTATAATACGATTCCTTGCATGATCTGTTGGCATATTTTTATAATTCCTCCCACTGAATTTCAATTCCGTATTAGCAATACAAGTACAAATGTATATTTCATGCATCTTCATCGCCCCCAGTTTCCGTGCAAATCTCAGTTTATCTTCATAATAAACTGGATGAAGGGACACCCGCTCGAATTAAGGAAATAGATTGGTCGAAGATGAAATTCAACTCGAAGAAGCTTTGCGTTGAGTTGCAATACTCGTTGCAAATTTGCAAAACAACTCGTTGCAGAGAAAAGAACCGCCTACTTCTTGACAATGACACTTAATTATGATGTCATATTGTGTTGAGTGGAAATTCAATTTATGAGTCTTCGGGTCTGGATCTCCAGGATCCAACTTTCTGTGTGTTTTCTTTTTACATTTCGTCGATCGTTCTCATAGAAACACCTAAGATAAAATACTAAACTTGCAATACTGAAAGATTCACGAATGTTTACACAATTTCTGCAATACATCACAGAGTTCTGGCATAACTTGTCAATCAACTTACAACTTGTTTTTCCTGAGAGTAAATAAAACGAGACTCGAATCCTCCCAAATTTCGTCATCTTGCGGTGTGGCATTTGTTACAGCTTCTTTTGGATCTGTTGAGCATTTAGACCTTGCGACTGACTTGCAGGGAAGTCAACAAGAAAATAGTTTTGATGGTAAAAATTTTTTTGTCCACAGTCAAAATTCTTCTATCGCGGGTCACATGCAGTGCTAGTTACATTTATTCACCTCTTTTCTATGATCCTTAATCTATTGGCTAATTGGCATACCTTTACTATTCGTGTTCTCTGCGTTTCGAAAATATTCAAGTACAATTTTCATATCAATGACCAGGTTTCAAATTTCCTTATGTTTATCTTCAGCATAGACTAGATGAAATGTCACAACTCAAAGTCCAAATATATCATATTATATTTTGGGCCGATTCGAACTGGATCTAACTTATGTGCACGAACTCTGGTGAAGGGCCACTCGCTCAAATTAAGAAAGAAGATTGGTCGAAGATGAAATTGAACTCGAAGAAGATTCGCGTTGAGTTGCAATACTCGTTGCGAATTTGCGAAACAATTCGTTGCAGAGATAAGAACCGCCTACTTCTTGACAATGACACTTTATGATGTCATATTGTCTTGAGTGGAAATTCAATTAATGACTCTTCGTATCTGATTCTCCAGGATCCAACTTTTTGTGTTTTTTCTTTTTTATGTGTCTTTTTACGTTTTGTCCATCGTTCTCATAGAAACACCAACATTATGTTGAGCAATAAATAACATAAACTTGCAATACTAAAAGATTCACGAATGTTTTCACAATTTCTGCAATACATCACACAGTTAGTTCTGGCATAACTTGTGACTCAACTTACAACTTGTTTTTCCTGAGAGTAAATAAGACGAGACTCGAATCCTCCCAAATTTCGTCATATCGTGTTGTGGCATTTGTTTCAGCTTCTTTTGGATCTGTTGAACATTTTGACCTTGCAACTGACTTATAGGGAAGTCAGCAAGAAAGTAGTTTCAATGGTAAAAACTTTTTTGTCCACAGTCGAAATTCTTCCATCGCGGGTCACATGCAGTGCTAGTTACATTTACTCACCTCTTTTCAATGATCCTTAATCTATTGGCTAATTGGCATATCTTTACGATTCGTGTTCTCTGCGTTTCGAAAATATTCAAGTACAATTTTCATATCAATTACCAGGTTTCAAATTTCCTTATGTTTATCTTCAGAATAAGCTAGATGAAATGTCAAAACTCGAAGTCCAAATATATCATATTATATGTTGGGTCGATTCACACTGGATCTAACTTATGTGCACGAAATCTATTGGCATTGCCATATTTTTATAATTCCTTCCCTCTAAATTTCATTTCCCTGTTATACAAGTACAAATGTATATTTCACATATTCATCGCTCCCAGTTTCCGTGCAAATCTCAGTTTATCTTCAGAATAAACTGGGTGAAGGGACACCCGCTCGAATTAAGGAAATAGATTGGTCGAAGATGAAATTCAACTCGAAGAAGCTTCGCATTGAGTTGCAATACTCGTTGCAAATTTGCGAAACAACTCGTTGCAGAGATAAGAACCGCCTACTTCTTCACAATGACACTTTATGATGTCATATTGTGTTGAGTGGAAATTCATTTCATGACTCTTCGGGTCTGGTTCTTCAGGATCCAACGTTTTGTGTTTTTTCTTTTTTACGTCTCTCTTTTCACGTTTTGTCCATCGTTCTCATAGAAACACCAACATTATGTTGAACAATAAATAACATAAACTTGCAATGCTAAAAGATTCACGAATGTTTACACAATTTCTGCAATACATCACAGAGTTCTGGCATAACTTGTGACTCAACTTACAACTTGTTTTTCCTGAGAGTAAATAAAACGAGACTCGAATCCTCCCAAATTTCGTCATCTCGTGGTGTGGCATTTGTTACAGCTTCTTTTGGATCTGTTGGGGATTTTGACCTTGCAACTGACTTATAGGGAAGTCAACAAGAAAGTAGTTTTGATGGTAAAAACTTTTTTTGTCCACAGTCAAAATTCTTCCATCGCGGGTCACATGCAGTGCTAGTTACATTTATTCACCTCTTTTCAATGATCCTTAATCTATTGGCATATCTTTACGATTCATGTTCTCTACGTTTCGAAAATATTCAAGTAGAATTTTCATATCAGTGCCCAGGTTTCAAATTTCCTTATGTTTATCTTCAGAATAGGCTAGATGAAATGACAGAACTCAAAGTCCAAATATATCATATTATATGTTGGGCCGATTCAAACTGGATCCAACTTATGTGCACGAACTCTATTGCCATATTTTTATAATTCCTTCCCTCTAAATTTCATTTTCGTTAATATGCAATACAAATGTACAATTCTCATATCCATCGCCTCCAGTTTCCGTGCAAATCCGGCTCAGTTTATCTTCAGAATAAACTGGGTGAAGGGCCATAATTCATTAGGAATCTTAAGCATGTAGGAGGACGGTAACACGACGACGACGTCGCTGGAATACTCCTTTCAATAAATGTTATGATAAAGCGTTGTTCTATATTATCAACTGTAATAATTTAATATAAGATGTTGAAAACATTGTGTTTACGTTTAGGGACAATTCTATAGAGCCTAATTCGAGGTAGCGCTCATTAGGTCCTGAAATGCAGACGTTCTACATAAAACGTAATAAACGACGTTTTGCCGTT